TGCTGGGCTCCGGCGATCCTTCCGCCTCAGCCTTCCGAGTAGCCAGAATTACAGGCATGCGCCATCACGCCCGGCTGATTTTTTGATTTATTGTAGAGATGAGGTCTCGCTGCCCAGGCGGGTCTCGAACCCGCGGGCTCAGGCAATCCACTCACCTCAGCCTCCCAAAAGGCGCGGGATTACAGGTTGAGCCACCGAGCCCGGCTACATTTTATATTTTAATTAAAAAACTTTTTTTTCTTTTATTTCTTTTTCTTTCTTTGAGTTGGGAGTCTCACTCTGTCGCCCAGGCTGGAGTGCAGTGGCATGCTCATGGCCACTACAGCCTCGAAGTACTGGGCTCCGGAGATCCTCTCGCCTCAGCCTTCCAAGTAGGGAACTACAGGCGCGTGCTGCCACGCCCGGCTTATTTTTTTATTTATTATAGAGATGAGGTCTCACGAAGTTGCCCAGGCTGTTCTCAAACCACCAGGCTCAGACAATCCTCTTGACTCGGCCTCCCAAAGTACTGGGATTACAGGCTGAAACACTGTGCCTGGCCCTTTTTTTTTTAAAGTAGAGACAGGGTCTCACTTTGTTGCCCAGGCTGGTCTCGAACTCCTGGACGCAAGTGATCCTCCCATCTGGGCCTCCCAAAGTGCTGGGATTACAGGCATGAGCCACCACACCTGGCATATGTTATACTGTTTACATTATAGAAAGATGCATAATGAGAGAAATAATTCCTATAGTGTATCAACTTCTGGGTTAAACATTTTTCAGATAACCTCTAATATCCATTGTATATCAATATATACCTATATTTATATGTTCTTTTACTAAGGGACCTTAGAAAGAAACTTTGAAGTGAAAAGATGGTTCCATGTTCTTGAATAGAAAGACTCATTTTTCTCAACATAATGAACTCTTTCTATATTTACCAATTTTGCATAAACCAAATAAAAATATCAAAGTTTGAAAATGCTGTCTTTTACCATTGTAATGACATTAAGAAAATTTTTGTGTTGGAGTGAGCAAATGCGTGCCCTTCTAGATATCAAAATTTGGTATTAATTTCCACAGATTAATTGTTTACTAACAACTGAAAGACAGATAAACGAATAGAACAGAATAGAAAATCCAGAAATAACTTTGTCTTTGCAAAAAATAAAAAAAATTAGCTGGGCTTGGGGTACATGCCTGTAATCTCAGCTACTCAGGAGGGTGAGGCAGTAGGATCTTCTGAGCCCAGAAGGTTGAGGTTGAGGTTGAGGCTGCAGTGAGCCAAGATTATGCCACTGCACTCTATCCTGGGCGACAGAGTGAGACCCCGACTTTAAAAAAAAAAAAAAAAGAAAGAAAGAATTTAAAATTTAATAATAGTGACATTTCATATTAGTAGAAAAGATGAATTATTCATAAGTAAATGCCTGCTATCCGTTTAGAGCTAGATTTTTATATCACAAAATAAGCTCCAGATGGAATATAGATTTTTTTTTTTTGAATTTGAGTCTCACTTGTTCGCCCAGACTGGAGTGCAGTGGCTGCTCCTGGCCACCGCAGCCTCGCCTGCTGGTCTCCGGGGATCCTTCCCCCTCAGCCTTCCAAGTAGCCGGAATTACAGGCATGCGCTACCACGCCCGGCTGATTTTTTTTTTTTTTTATTTATCATGGAGATGAGGTCTCGCAGCCTCAGCGGGTCACCCGCGGGCTCAGGCAATCCACTCACCTCAGCCTCCCAAAGGCGCAGGATTACAGGCTGAGCCACTGAGCCCAGTTGGAATATAGATTTAAAAATTTAAATACACAGCCAGGTGCAGTGGCTCATGCCTGTAATCCCAAGCACTTTGGGAGGCAGAGGCGAGAGGATTGCCTGAGCCCAGGGGTTCGAGACCAGCCTGGGCAAACATGGCCAGACCTCATCTCTACAGTAAATCAGAAATTAGCCAGGAATGGTGGCACAACCCTGTGGTTCCAGCTTTTTGGAAGGCTGAGGCTGAAGGATTGCATGAGCCCAGCAGGTCCAGGCCGTGGTAGCTGTGAGTATGTCACTGCACTCCAGCCTGGGCAGCAGAGTGAGACCCCAGTTTTCAAAAAATTAAATATTCAAGATGAGAAAAGTACCAGAAGAAAACACAAATACCTATTTTTTTTTTTTAAGAGATAGGGTCTCACTCTGTTGCCCAAACTGGAGTGCAGTGGTGCAGTCATAGCTTACTGTAGTCTTCAACTCCTGGACTCAGGTATTCCTTCCTGCCTTAGCCTCTCCGGTAGCCAGGACTACAGGCATATGCCACCATGCCTGGATAATTTTTATTTTATTTGTTTAATTCTATGTTGCCCAGGCTGATCTCGAACTCCTGGCCTCAAACAATCATCCCACCTCCAGGCCATAAATGCTTGTTAGAACAGATACATTTTTTATGTTGACAAAGTCCTTTCAAGGAATGACCTCAGAAGCAAACATTCTGAAGGTTGATTTGCAAAATAAAATTAAAATTTGCTGTAAAAAGTTAACAAAATAAAGAAATACTTGCCAAATATTTGCAACATATACACCATCTTAAAAATGTCTTCATGGCCGGGCTTGGTGGCTCAGCTTGTAATCACAGCACTTTGGGAAGTTGAGGCGACTGGATTGCCTGAGCCTGCAGGTTCGAGACTAGCCTGGACAACTTGGTGAGACATCGTCTCTACAATAAAATAAAAAAAAAATTAGCCAGGCACGGTAGCATACACCTGTAGTTCCAGCTACTTGGAAGGCTGAGGTGGAATGTTTGCCAGAGCCCAGCAGGTTTACGCTGGGGGTGGCTGTGAGTGTGCGTGCCACTGCACTCCAGTCTGGGTGACAGACTCCAACTCAAACCCTCCCCAAAACAAAAAGTCTTCATTTTACAGATAATTCTTTCAAATCAACAACAAAAAAAGAACTCTAATTCAAAATTGGGCAAAGTACTTTTTTGCAGATCTAAAAGTGATCTTTGCACATAGGAAAAAATATTTAGTGTTCCTGGTAAGAAAAGGAATTTAACTTAAAAGAGGAATTAAATACTGTTTTTTTCTATCCACAAAGTTTGTGAGGATGAAGAGCTGTACTACTTATACTGCTGCTTAAAATTTAAGTTGTTGATGACTTTTCAAATAGACACTTTGGTGGTGAGTGCTACATTTAAGAAATGTGTATGTCCTTTACCCATCAATTCCATCAAACTAAAATATTCCTAGGAAATAATTAGAGATATATGTAATTTATTTTTCTCGGCACTGTTTAAAATAGCAATGTATTATAAGAACCCATAAAATGGATTTTATAAATACATTTCAGTGCATAGGATGGAATATGTGAAGGTGGCATAGAGAAGTATGTTGACATGCAAAGATGTATTTTTATACATCAAGTGAGAAAAAAATCAGCTTGATTATACATACACACAGATGGTGGTCTTGTATCTGCTAAAAATATGTATAAAATGCGATAAAATTAGTTATTTCCAGGCATTTGTATTATAGGTGAAATATTTTCCCTTTCTCTTATTTATGATTTCTGCAATGAGCATGTATAAAATTCTTGTAAAAATAATTTTTTGAAAGAGCAGGAATATGAATTTTGCACTGATAAAAATGTCTTACTTTCTATTTAAAAAATTTTTTTCCTGTCGATTACTATCTTCTGACAACTTTATTCTTTTCAGAAGTAAAGGGAGCTGGGCTCGGTGGCTCAGCCTGTAATCCCACGCCTTTGGGAGGCTGAGGTAAGTGGATTGCCTGAGCCAGCGGGTTTGAGACCTACCTGGGCAACTTGGCGAAACCTCATCTCTACAATAAATCAAAAATCAGCCGGGTAGTGGTAGTGCACGCCTGTAGTTCCAGCTACTTGGAAGGCTGAGGTGGAAAGATCGCCGGAGCCCAGCAGGTCGAGGCTGCAGTGGCTGGGAGCAGCCACTGCACTCCCGTCTGGGCAACAGAGTGAGACTCCAACTCAAAAAAAAAAAAAAAAAAAAAAAGAAGTAAAGGGAATCTTTTTATCTGTGCTTGTAGGTTTTATTATGTATACATTTTATTATATACTTATTTCTATTATCTATAGATTTATTATACATGCAAACAATTATAGATTAATCACTTTATTTTAGTTGTGTCCTTATGGGAATATAAAGTAGCAACTATAAATGATTTACTATTGTGAAAGTATTGCTTTGCTTTATAAGAATTTTCTTTAAAAATATTGAATTTGACTAAGTATGGTGGCTCACACCTGTAATTTTAGCAGGAGGATTACATGGGGCCAGGTGTTCAAGACCAACCTAGACAACATATTGTGACTCTGTCTCTACAAAAATTCAAAAAATAGGCTGGGTGTGGTGGCACCTGCCTGTAGTCCCAGCTATTAGGAAATCTAAGGTGGAAAGATCCCCTAAGCCCAAGAGGTCAAGGCTGTGGTCATGCCACTGCATTTCATCCTTGTTGACAGAGTGAGACCCTGACTCAAAAAAACAAAAACAAAATATTGAACTCCCCAACTGTATTTATCCATTCTTTCAATCCATTTATCAAACATAACCTGAAAACCTATATGTTGCAGACATATTCTACCATCTCTTTAGACCCTTCCACACTTAAAAACTTCATGTTTACCTGCCCAGCCTGAGCAAGTGAGAGATTTACGATAGGAGTATTATTACTTAATTTTAATTGAAGCTTTTCTTTCAAACAAGCATTTCTGAACATAGACAATTATAAGAGAAAGATTTTAACTGCCATTTGAAAAATTCTAACAGTTTTACATACTAATATTAATCGTGGGAAATATCTGATTGGCATACATTCTATAAATCTACATATTGAATAACACAAGCCAAGCTATTCACTTCAATCCTGAGTGTCCTTTGGCTTAAATTAGGTTTTTGAAAATCAAAATAAAAATTACTTTGTTTTAAAAATTGTTGTTTGCTGAGAATCAAATCACTAATTCAATCTCATTTACAATAACTGCCAAATAAATAAAATACCTAGAAATATATTTAAACAAGGTGGTAAAAAATCTCTATAAAAAGAACTTCAAAAACACTGTTGAAATAAATCATAGACGACACAAACAAAGGGAAAGACAGCCATGCTCATGGATTGGAAGAATCAACATTGTTAAAATGACCATATTACCCAAAGTAATCTATAGATTCAGTGCACCTGCTACTAATGTCATTTTCACAGAATTCTAAAAGAAAAAAATCCTAAAATTCATATGGAACCAAAAAAGTGCCTGAATAGTCAAAGCAATCCTAAGCAAAAAGAACAAGCTGGAGGCATCACATTGCCCAACTTCAAATTATATTACTAGGCTATTGTAACCTAAATGGCATGGTACTGGTATAAGCACGGACACATGGACCAATGGAACAGAATAGGAAATTCAGAAATAAACCCAAATGCCTACAACTAACTGATCTTTGACAAAACAAAAACATACACTGTGGAAAGGACACCCTATTCAACAAATGGTGCTGGGAAAATTGGATAGCTACACGCAGGATAAAGAAACCAGATCCTTGTCTCTCACCATATACAAAAAATTGACTCAAGATGAATTAAAGACTTAAATGTCAGACCTGGAACCGTAAAAATCCTAGAGGAAAACCTAAGAAAAACTCTTCTGGACTTTGTCCTAGGCAAATCATTTATGGTTAAGACCCCAAAAGCAAATGCAACAAAAGACACAAATATGTGAGAGTTAATTAAATTAAAAAACTTCTCCACAACAAAAGAAATACTCAATAGAGTAAATAGGTAACCTACAGAATGGGAGGAAATATTTGCCAACTATACATCAGGCAAAGGACTAATATCCAGAATCTACAAAGAACTCAAATTAGCAAGAAAAAACAAATTGCCCTATTAAAAAGTGAGCAAACGAGTGGGCCCAGTGGCTCATGTCTGTAATTCCAGCACTTAGGGTGGCCAAGGCAAGAGGACAGCTTGAGTCCAGTAGTTTGAGACCAGCCTAGTCAACATAGCAAGGCTTTGTCTCTACAAAAACATAAAAAAAATTAGCCAGGCATGATGGTGCATACCTGTAGTCCTTACTCAGGAGGCTAAGGTGGAAGGATCCCCTGAGCCCAGGAGATCAAGGCTGTGGTGAGCTGTGATTATGCCACTGCACTCCAGCCTAGACCTCAACTCAAAAAAATCCAGTCATCTCTCAAAAGAAGATATACAACTGATCAACAAGCATATGAAAAAATGCTCAACATCACTAATCATCAGGGAAATGTAAAAACTACATTGAGATACCACCTTGTGCCAGTCAGAATGGCCATTTAAAAAAAAAAACAATAGATGTGAATGTGGATGCAGTGAAAAGTGAAGGGTTATACACTGTTGGTGGGAATGTAAATTAGTACAACCACTATGCAAATCAGTGTGGAGATTTTTCAAAGAACTAAAATTAGATCTATTATTCAGTTCAGCAATCTCACTACTTGATGTCTACCCAAAGGAAAATAGGTCATTATACAAAGGTGATACCTACACTCACATGTTTATCATAGCACAAATCATAGTTGTATTCATACCATGGAATACTATTCAGCCATAAAAAAGTATGAAGTGATGTCTTTGTGCAGCAAGTTGGATGGAATTGGAAACCATTATCTTTATTTTTTAAGTTGGAGTCTCACTCTGTTGCCCAGGCTGGAGTGAGTGGCATACTCACGGCCACCAAAGCGTCAACCTACTGGACTCCAGGGATCCTTCCGCTTCAGCCTTCCAAGTAGCTGGAACTATAGGTGCGCAATACCATGCCCAGCTAATTTTATTTATTTATTTATTGTAGAGACGAGGTCTCGCCAAGTTCGGCTGATCTTGAATCCTCAGGCTCATGCAACCCACTTGCTCGGCCTCCCAAAGTGCTGGGATTACAGGCTGAGCCACCGAACCAGGCCAGAAACCATTATCTTAAGTGAAGTAATGCAGAATGGAAAACCAAATACTGAATGTTCTCACTTATCAATGAGATCTAAGCTATGGGTCTGCCAAAGCATATAGAATGGTATAATGGACATTGGAGACTCAGAAGGGGGAGGGTAGTAAGTGGGGGAAGAATGAAAAATCACTTATTGGATACTGTGTGCACTAGTGGATGTGGTGGGTACACTTGATGCACATACTTCTTCACTACTATACAATGCTTCCAAGTAACCAAAAACCATTTTGTACCCCTAAAGCTGTTTAGATAAAAATTTTAAAAAATTGTTATTTCAGTTACTTTTTTAGTACTAAGATTTATTTAACTGCCAGTCATATGACCAGAGCACTCATGGGTCTGTTTTATAGACCATATTTTTTTTTTTGAGTTGGGTTCTCACTCTTGTCGCTCAGGCTGGCATACAGTGGCACAATCACAACTCATTGGAGCCTCAACCTCTTGGGCTCAGGTGATCCTTCTGCTTCAGCCTCCTGGTTAGCTGGGACTACAGGCATGTGCCACTACACCCTACTAATTTTTTTATTTTTCTGTAGACGAGGTCTTGCTATTTTGCCTAGGCTTGTCTCAAACTCCTGGGCTAGAGTGATCCTCCTGCCTTAACCTCCCGAAGTGCTAGAATTACATGCATGAGCCACCTGGCCCTATGGACCATATTTCATTTAATGTAAGACACCATGGATGTGTGATGCTTCAATATTTTATTTATCAGATAATTCTTAAAATGCTGCCAATTATAGTTGTAATAAAACATGAATTACAAGTGTCATTACAGTATTGAAGATGTTAAAATGTGAGAATATAAGCATCTTAAAATCATCGAAATACAGTGTTATCTCTAATTTTTAAAAGTACTGCAAAGTAGGTAGGATTATATCATTTTATTTAATTATAATGGCTTTGTTAAGAAGTAATAATATTTATAATAGCTAACAATTATTGAGCTGTTATTTGTGCTAGGAACTGTTATAAATACTTTACATAGATTTTTATTTAAGTATCACAGTGGTGTCCTGTGGCACAACTACTATTTTCATTTTCTTTTTATTGATGAGGAAACTGAGGCACAGAAAGGCTAAGTGTTAGTGAGAAACAGAGCTTAAGATAGGATTCAGTCCCAAGTTGAATTTAATTCAAAGGCCAAGCTTTTTCTATTCAAATAGGCTGCTCTTTCATTAATGAGTGAATAAGAGCAAATAAATATTGTATTTTTTTTTTCAGAAAGGAAATAGCTGTTCTGAAGGCAGAGGAATAGTATATTAGTTAATTTTTTTTTTTTTTTTTGAGACTGAGTCTCACTCTGTTGCCCAGACTGGAGTGCAGTGGTACGCTTACAGCCACTGCTGCCTTGACTTGCTGGGCTCAGGCGATCCTTCCGCCTCAGCCTTCCAAGTAGCTGGAACCAACGGCATGTGCCATCACACTCAGCTAATTTTTTGATTTATTGTAGAGATGAAGTCTCACCCAGTTGCCCAGGCTGATCTGGAACCCCTAGACCCAGGCAATCCTCTTGCCTCCGCCTCCCAAAGTGCTGGGATTACAGGCTTGAGCCTATTTAATGTTATAGTTATATGAATCATTGTATGGTTTAAGACAGTATACTACAATTTCCTAAAACGTCCTCTCACTTTCATAGGACTGCTCTACATTTGGCCTGTGCTAATGGCCATCCAGAAGTGGTCACTCTCCTGGTGGACAGGAAATGCCAGCTTGATGTCTGTGACAGTGAAAATAGGACAGCTCTGATAAAGGTATGTAGTAGCCGACTATTAGCGTGAGGTGGATTTGATTCAAAAACATAGAATAAAGATGAATTTATCTCATTTAACTATATCTAGCTGGCAAAACTTGTGGAATGTTTATTTTGAGTTTCTAGAATTTATGATCTATTTCTTGGTTGAATACTGACAGGCTGTACAATGCCAGGAAGAGGAATGTGCAACTATTCTGCTAGAACATGGTGCTGATCCAAACCTTATGGATGTCCATGGCAACACTGCTCTCCACTATGCTGTCTATAATGAGGATTTATCAATAGCAGCAAAATTGCTTTCATACGATGCTAATATTGAAGTGAAAAACAAGGTATGGAGCAATGAACTTTTTTTTTCAAAATATTTGAAGTGAATTTGTTTTAACATTGACATACAAGTGGGACCCAAAAAACCCTGAAATTTATTTATAAAAAATTGTGTATTTATTCCTGTATGTTTAAACTTCAGTCACCTTCAAAGTACTCTCTGCTTGATGCAATACACATATCAAGATGCTTTTTTCACTGCTCAAAGCAGTTTTTGAACTTGTCAATTTTGATGCCTTTCAGTGCCTCTGCCATTTTTTCTTTCACCTCTTCCACACTGGCGAAACATTTCCCTTTGAGGACTTTTTTCATCCGAGAAACAAAAAAAGTCACTCAGGGCAAGGTCAGGTGAATAGGGAAAGGGACATGGAGGTCATGCCACTTTTGTTCAAAAACTGCTGAACACTAAGCATGGTGTGGGCAGGTATGTCATCATGGTGGAAGAACCAGCTACCTGTTTGCCATAACTGTTTGCCATGACTCTGCAAGTTGTAATGCGACCTTATCAATAATTCCAGATAAAAACTTTGGTTGGCGGTTTGATTCAAAGGAACAAAATCTGAGTGTACTACACGGGGCCTGCCCTTCAAAAGATAACATTGGTTTTTTGGGGTCCCCTCTCATGTGTAAGCGTCGATTTTTCATATTTGGAAGCTCAAGGATTCCCTGAGTAAAAATATTTTGAAATAACTTATCTGTGATTTTACTGTAAATATTGATAATCTCAAAGAAGCGTTAGAAGCCACAGCTTTTTCTTTCTTTTATTGAGTCCACCCTGGGCAGTATAGCAAGATCCTGTCTCTAACAACAACAACAACAACTACAATTTCCTTGAGATCCTGATACACTCTTAATTAAAAGCCACTGAATAAATAAGTGTAACATATGAATTTCCATATCTCTGAAACTTAAACCATAAATTGAGTCAACATATGAAATTTAGGAGACAAATGCAGGTGCTACTTCCTTTAAATCTCTCCTTTTCAATAATGTTAGCCTGACTTTTATCCGTTTTTCTCTATTTCAGTGGTTGGAAAGTTAAAAGGATTATTATTGGCAATATCTATTAGTTTACAGAGTAACATAATTTTTCCTTTCAACCATTAATCATTCACTGTCACTCAGAGGATCTTTAGAAATTTGTTTAACTTTCAATAGGTAGAAGCTGACCCTTTCAGGATGTCATGTCTCTTTTTTATCATTCAGATGATTAGGTTAACAAATGTTTATTACAAGCAAGGTTTTCTAAATTAGAATAGGAGCAAATCTTGAGCCTTTTTAAATTTTTAATCTATTTTTATTTTTTGAGTTGGAATCTCACTCTGTCATCCTGACTGGAGTGCAGTGGCACACTCATGGCCACCACAGTGTTGACTCGCTGGGCTCCAGCAATCCTTCCACCTCAGCCTTCCGAGTAGCTGGAACTACAGGTGCAGGCTACCACACCCAGCTAATTTTTTTTTATTTTATCATAGAAACGAGGTCTCACCAAGGTGCCTGGGCTGGTCTTGAACCCTTGGGCTCAGGCAATCCACTTGTCTCGGCTTCCCAAAGTACTGGTATTATAGGCTGAGCCACTGAAGCCAGCCAGGTTTTTATTTTTTTTTAGTTGAAGTTGTATTATGGACTATCTCATATATCTGTTTAGTTCATACAGCTTTGGCATAATCAGGATGGCAGTTTGTATACAGTGAAAACCATGAAGTTAGTAAGAATAAAGGTGGAAATTTAAAAAAATACTTTCGTTTCAGTAGTCCTATGAACTAATTATCCATTTGGTTAGCAATCTGAGGAAATTAAGTGCAAATAGATAATGAATACGTGTTAAAAAAATTCTTGAAGTGGAAATTATAAATCATAATAGCAATTTTTATTACATGTTTGGTCCTGATTTTTTGATAAAGCATGTGATACTAAAATGGGAAGGATTTTACATGCAAATACTTGCTTTAGACACCACCATTTGGAAACACATCTATAGCAAACATAAAAATAAAGGCTGTAGTCTAAATGTAACCCATGGGTATATTTAGTTTTCACCATAAATTGAGTCAACATATGAAATTTAGGAGACGAATACAGAAATCTGGACTTCAGGTGTCCCTTGAGCCTGTGTTTCTGTGGCTTGTTTGCTGTGCAGAGACGAGGCATGTGTTCTCCATATCCCCACTGTTCCCATGCAGGGTACTTGTCAGGTCACCTACTTTGCCTATGTAAGTATTTCATTTTGCAACTTTTGTGTTATAGCAAAGATTTCAAGGTTTCAAGACAATTTGTTTGTTTATAATATAGTTTATGTTAATCTTTAAGCAATGGGGTTCAATTTTAGAATTTAGCAGTTGGGTTTTTTTAAAAAACAACTCTTTATATATATAGTAAATAATCAGCCCCCTATTAGAATCCCTGTAAGCCTCTTTAGGCTAATCCTGTTATAGTTGGATAGGTTATTCATGTTGCAGACAATATTGTATCTTTCTTCTCAGCATTATCCCTTAAGAATGTGAGTGATGTAATGGTTTTCTTTATTCTAAAAATAATCCATGTAGATTAGTATTAGAATTTTTATTGATAAACTGTTGCATTTTTATTTCTGATTTATATTTTGCCTAATATAAAAAATAATTTAAGTAGCAATTAAAATGGAATTTGGACTAAAAATGGATTTTAAAAAGTAGATTTGCATTAGGGTCCTAGGAGTATCATCACAATTGAGAATAAAATTTCAGACTGGGTTTACTAACAGCTGAGATAAAAATGCATCATTTTTTAATAAGAGAAATCCCATGGACCATTAGTAATAAGTAGTCGAAATTCATTTGAAGCCTATCTCTTTACATTCGGAACCAGGTCATTAGTGACCTATTTGGAGCAGAAGTGCCTGACATTGGCGCCTGGCATCCTGATACCATTGATAGAAGAGGATCTAGCGAGTTTGTATTACCTTTTGGTCATATGATCTTATATGGAGGAAACCACCACTTTATTGAAAAGCTCTCAAAACTGTATCCCTGAAACCGATTCCTTAAATGTTTATGTTTGCCACAAAAAAGTATTGTCACATAGGGATTAGGCAAAGTTTGAATACTGAACATATATTGCAGTTTTCTAGTATGCCTTAAACATAGATGATTGTGGAATCTTTCTGTTGGGGTGCAGTTCTTCTGACAGAGTTTATATTCTTTTGTTGTTTTTTTTTTTTTGAGTCAGGGTCTCCATCTTAAATCACCTCATCAGCAAAAATCTAGATGTAATCAAAAGGAGTTCATGAATTATAAATAACTCAGGAAATTCCAAGGTTTTTTTTTTTTTTCCCCCGAGTCTTACTCCGTCCCCAGCTAGAGTGAAGTGGCACGATCATAGCTCACCGCAGCCTTGACCTTTTGAGCCCAGGCAGTTCTTCTGCCTCAGCCTCCCAAGTAGCTGGGACTACAGGTGTGTGACAGCATGGATGGCTAATATTTTAATTTTTTTTTTCTCACACTCCTTGGCTCACACAGTCCTCCTGCTTCAGCCTCCCAAAGTGCTGGGATTACAGGCATGAATCACCAAGCCTTGCCTGATAAAATAGATATTCTTTGTAATATGGTTTAAGAAACACTGCTGTAGAGATAATGTAGATCATTAATTTAATAAGAAATACTTAAATGTCTTAAGACTTGGGAATATAGAATTAAAAATATGCCCTACACTTAAGAAGCTCTTGTATTAGATGGGAGGCAATAAAATAATTATAGTATACCATGATAAATGCTGTGATAGAAGCAAAGATTTTTGGAACCACTAAATGTTTATACAGTAGTGAATTTTGGAGATGACCAGAGTGAATGTGGTGAGGCAGAGGAGGGTGTTTCAGAATGAAGGAGCAATACATGGAAAAGCATAGAGGAGTGATAAGGAAGGGACTGTATTTTATTTACTTTCCATATTACAAGTTTAAGTTCATAGGATCTTAGATAAGATTTTCAGTTTCCCCGGGAAATATGTAATTCTGTGAATTATAAATTGTTTTTTACTGTTTTACAGGATGACCTCACACCACTTTTACTTGCTGTAAATGGAAAAAACCAGCAAATTGTGGAATATTTAATAAAGAAAAAAGCAAATATGAAAGCAGTTGATAAGTTGGAAAGGTACAGTAGTTAGTTCTTTTTTTTTTAAACCTGAGTTTGTTCTAGGATAGGAGCAGTCACTCAAGTCAAAAATAGTACATAAGGCTGGCTGGCTCATGCTTATAATCCCAGCACTTTGGAAGGCTGAGGTGGGAGGATTGCTTGAGTCCGGGAGTTTGAGACCAACCTGGACAACATAGTGAGACCTCATCTCTGCAGAAAACCAAAAAGTTAGCCTGGCGTGGTAGTGCATACCTCTAGTCCAGCTACTCAGGAGGCTGAGGGGAAGGATTACTTAAGCCCAGGAGTTTGAGACTGGGGTGAACTGGAATCATGCCAGTACACTCCAGGCAGGAGAACAGAGTAAGACCCTGACTTAAATAAATCAGTAAGAAGAGTAACTTATAATTTTGGGGATATGGTGAAAAATATCAACACAAATCATTAGTTGGGCAGAAAAGCAATTACTTGGATTAGGCAACATAAAGAATAATAATATAGTGGATTTATCGTCTCTTTTTTTTTTTTTTTTGAGTCAGAATTTCCCTCTGTTTCCCAGGCTGGAATATAGTGGCAAGATCACGACTCACTGCAGCCTCAACCTTCTGGATTCAGACAATCTTCCTGCCTCAACCTCCTGAATAGCTGGGACTATAGGTGCATGCCACCACACCCAGCTAATTTTTCATTTCATAGAGACAAAGGCTCACTCACTATGTTGTCCAGGCTGGTCTCGAACCCCTGGGCTCAAGCAGTCGTCTTACCTTGGCCTCCCACAGTGCTGGGATTACAAGTGTATGTCACCTTGCCTGGCCTCATCATCTCCTGTAATAATGATTGAGATTTGTTATTTGTAATCTGTTTTTTTGGTCATATGATTTTATATTAGCTAAAGGGATTTCATACTAGTTTTATTAGTTTTGTAAAGTGTGGACTTTAACATTTAGTTTTCTTTATGACTCAATATTGAATTTAATACTTTCATAGTATATTTCTAGCCTCTCCTTATTTTCCTTTAAAAATCATATTTTAAACATAAATAGGAGTTGAAAATCATTTTGTCTTTTGGATGACACTTTGCTTTAAGTTCCTTTCTTTAAAGAATATTGATATTAAGTTACTCCCCAAGTGACTATTAATTGCTATTACCAGAAACTGTGAATTCATCATTTTTTCCTTTTTCATTTCTAGTATATTTTGATGTGTTTATTTTTAATTGGTAAGGGCAGAGGGAGGAAACTGGATAAACTTTTTTTTAAGAGAGGAGCTTAAACTGGATAAACTTTTCCTTTACTGAAGACACATCATAGGTGGGTGATAAAGAGGAAAGAGATAGACTTTAGATTCTCACAAGACTGGGTTTATTCCTGTCTTTCCTACTTGCTAGGTGTGTGACTTTGGGGACATTACTTATCACTGAATATGCTTTCTGATATGAAAAGGAGGATAATAATATATCCTTCAATGGTGGTTGTGTGTAAGATTAAACATATAGCATTTAATTTAGTGCCTAGCACATGCCTATCAGCATTATTAATTGAAACTACTATGTTTACTATTTTTTTTTTTTTTTTGAGTTGGAGTCTCACTCTGTCACCCAGACTGGAGTGCAGTGGCCACTCCCAGCCAACGCAGCCTTGACCTGCTGGACTCTGGCGATCCTTCCGCCTCAGCCTTCCAAGTAGCTGGAAATACAAGCGTGCGCTACCACGCCCGGCTAATTCTTTGATTTATTGAAGTGATGAGGTCTCGCCAAGTTGCCCAGGCGGGTCTCGAACCCGCGGGCTCAGGCAATCCACTCACCTCAGCCTCCCAAAGGCGCGGGATTACAGGCTGAGCCATCGAGCCCGGCTATGATTACTATCGTTACCATGATTACTAATATTGTTTTAAGTCTGCTCATCTGACCCCTAACTAACTTTGAATCACAAAATATTGTATCAGTCTAGGGAAGAAATGGAAAATTCTTCATTTATGGCCTCAGCATAGTTTCTTGCCCATCGAAGGACTTTAAATTAGCAACCTCTACTATGCAATATCCAAGTGTGACAAGAGGCTTCCTTTTAGCTTTGGTGTGATTTACAAAGAGGAGCTCTTGAGCATCCAAGATGCTTATGTCTGTTAGTACATGTAAATGGTTAATTCTACACAGACAGGCAAGATGTTAACTTGGTAAAATATATCAAATTAGCTATTTGAATAATTTTATTAAAGTTCCTAAGGGTGAAGTTGTCTCTCTGTTATTTTAGAACAGTCCTTGTGCTTCCTGTACATTATGAATCATTGAGTATAGTCTGGCTATACGTGAAGTTCAGCAACGTACTTCTGTCTTTTCTTAAGATATCTATGGATGGACTGCAGAAGATTATGCTGTTGCTAGTGGTTTTAACATTAAAAGGCTAGTTAATACTAGTTGGGGTTTAAAGTAATTTAACTATTGCATCTTATGCATCAGGGGAGATTTCATAGCTTGATTCAGGTAGTTTAGGAATAGCATTAAGTTAGTCCACTTCATCAGGTAGAAAGCAAGTAAAAGGCTAGACTAGTTATAAGTAGCAAAGGGTATAGAATTCTTTGTCTGAGGACTTTTAAGACCCTTGGGCTTAGGGTTTCCAACATTATCCATTTCATTCCAAGTATAATCCCTATACGTGGGATAAAGACAGTGTCACAGCTTTGATTTTTTTTTTCTTTTTGAGTCAGAGTCTCACTTTGTTGCCCAGGCTGGAGTGCAGTGGCACACTTGTGGCCACTACAGCCTTGACCTTCTGGGCTTAGGTGATCATTCTACCCTAGTCTTCCAAGTAGCTGGAACCACAGGTGCGTGCCACCACACCCAGCTAATTTTTTGATTTATTGTAGAGACGAGGTTTCGCCAAGTTGCCCAGGCTGATCTTGAACCTCTGGGTTCAGGCAGTCCTCTCTCCTCTGCCTCCCGAAGTGCTGGGTTTACAGGCTTGAGCCACTACGCCTGGCCCTGATTTTTCTTTCCTTTTTTTTGAATCAGAGTCTCACTCTGTTGCCTGGGCTGGAGTGCAGTAGTATGCTCATGGCCACCGCAGCCTCAATCTGCTGGGTTCACGTGATCCTTCTGTTTCAACCTTCCAAGTAGCTGGAACTACAGATGCGTGCCACTACGCCTGGCTAATTTTTTGATTTATTTTAGAGACAAGATCTCATTAAGTTGCCCAGGCTGGTCTCAAACCCCTAGTCTCAGGCAATCCTCTCACTTCCACTTCCCAAAGTGTTGGGATTACAGGTGTGAGCCACTATCCCTGGCTGCCCTGGTTTTTCTAATTAGTTATTTGGGTCCTGAAATGTCCAGTATAGTAGAAAATCTTGTATTTTTACCTGGGGGGCTATCTTCTATACCCTCCTCCTTGATTTTTTTAAGAACCCAAGTCCAAGGAAGACAGTCCTTTTTTACAAGTCAGAAGGAGGGAGAAAACAAAGACATTATAATCGTTCAGTTCTGTTGATTCTGCTGCTGCATTGTTGCAATTGAAACTGGTTCTGTAGTCTGGTAATCATTGACCTTTGCTACCAGGATGCCCTTACTGATTCTTCATGGTGTTACATACTTCAACTTCAAATTACACATTTTTTTTCACACTTATGTTCTCAAAGTACCAGTACCCTTACAGCTGGTCCTCCTGTCTTTAGCCAAACAAATAGGGAGCAAATTCACCCTTTCCCCAAACTCCACACCTTATATAGAACCCACATCTTAGCCTAAACTTAGCCTTTACCTTCATGGTAAGTTATCCTTTGTAGTCTTAGCTTGTCTTTTCTCTAGCATATATTAGTTGGGATTGTTCTAAACTGTCAGAGAGGTTCAAATAATTTTGCAGGAAAAGATCAGAGTTTACTTTTTTCTGTGATACCAGATCTGTAGCCCGAGGTCCCTTTATATTCTGTGTAGCACCTTTTCTTAGGTAGTGGAAGGTCCCATATCGTCCTTCCTCAGAGTAGTGGGCACCAACTTGCAGGCGGCCCTTCAAGTGATCAAATTGTCCATAACAATGAAAATATCCCAACCTACTTGCATCTCCATCTCAAGTTTTAAAAATATTTTCAAGTTCTACCTCACAAGGTAGCCATTGGACAGAATTCTCTGAATCTAAAGTAGGTTAGTTGAATTTAACAGTGCTAAATCTCATCCATGACTCTTCAGTATCCACATATAAATACAGACTTTGTGCTCTCTTTGGCAGCACATATACTAAAATTGAAACAATACAGGAAGATTAGCATGGTCCTTGTGCAAGGATGACATGCAAATTATGAAGCATTCTATGTTTTACAATTCCCAAAAGGTCATTTGACTAGTTACTGACTAGCTCCAAGGAAACTGAGTCAAAGCAGACTAACTGATACCCAATATTGAAATTGTGATTTTCACTACAAAAATATTTGTTAAGTGATCTATGTGATGAGAATGGAGCTGAGTGACTTGTGAGATATTGTGTGCAAATATGTTGATAGTTGTTATCTTGAAAATGAGAAATGTTAGCTTGAATCTCTTTCATAGAATCTAAATAAAATAAATGTAGAGCTTTGTCTTCCATGTCAGTTGGAAATGAACATGAAGATTAAGCATTATTCTAACAAAGATCTACTGGTTCAGAGTTTGAGTAGGTAGAGATGGATTCATTAGTAGTTCAAGGCAGATCTTAACATCCGTTAGTTTTCTGCCTTTGGTGTGATTGATTAGCTCAATACAATAGTGGACAATTATGTTATCAGATTTAATGAGATAATGTATGTATACATAAGCTTTGTTACAGATCATGAAATAGCTGAGAGGCCCTGAATTATAAGCCACGAGGAATACAACAACTAATAACCAGATTAGATTTAGTAATATTTTCTGACAACTGCAACATTTGAATTTTAGAACCTGTGGAAAAACACACCTTGAGTTTTATTTGGGATTCCAAAATAGTTTCATTAATCAAGTTATTCTATTGTTTCGCTGTTTCTCTGAGCATTTAAAAAATGTTATATTTCTAAGTTATTAGAACAACTGTTAAATGTAGTGAAATAAAGGAGGAAAATCCTTATTTTTGAGGACGAGAAATTGAGCCTAAGAGAAGCAACTTGTCCAAGAACAAATAGCTGTTGGTTTCAGAGCTAGATCCTTCTACCACAGCTTCCCAGGTAGCTGGAACTATAGGCACTTGCCACCACACCCAGCTCATTTTTGACTTATTGTAGGGATGAGGTCTCAGTAAGTTGCCCAGGCTGGTCTTGAATCCCTGGGCTCAGGCAGTCCTCTCGCCTCTGCCTCCCAAAGTGCTGGGATTGCAGGTGTGAGCCACCACACTCGGCTAGTTCAGGACATTCTTTATTATGTCAAGCTAACTTTAGTTACTTTGCTGAGCTATACTACCCTCAATTCATGACTACTTTCCTTACTTTTTTTCTTCTTTAATTGGAAGCTGAAAGAGTTTGTAGAGCTTACACATTTGAAATGTATAGGATAATTAAGATTCTAATATTAGCTCTGACATTGCCTGAAATAGTCTCAGAATTTAAGATGTTTGGTAATTGTTTTTCATATCAATATTAAAATAATAATTTTGTTACTTTTTTATATATAGCAAACGCCAACTGATTTCTGAATATAAAGAAGAGATGCCTAAAAATCCTTCTCAAAATAGTAATTCAGGTGAGACTTCTAATAATGAATTATTCTTTATGTTCCTACCATGGATAAAAAAGTAAGAATAAGGCAGTCTTGATCACAAAAGAGCAGTTAAAATAACCAGTGTGTAAAGTGCATGTTGGCTGGTTGCAGTGGCTCAAACCTGCAGTCCCAGCATTTTGAGAGGCCAAAGTGGGAGGGTTTCTTGAGGCCAGGAGTTCAAGATCCTCCCGGGCAACATAGCAAGATGCTACCTCTGCAAAAAAATTAAAAATTATGTGGGTGTGGTGGAACATGCTTGTAGTCCCAGCTACTCAGGAAGCTGAGCGGGAGGTTTGCATGAACCCAGGATGTCAAGGCTACAATGTATCATGATTTGCAACTACAGTTCATCCTGGGAGACAGTGGGACCCTGTCTCAAAAATAAAACAATTAATAAATTAATTAAGTGGATGTATATTTTTTCTTAATTCTTTCTTTGTAGTCAAGAATTCAGAATTATTTAAGAAGTTAGGTAATTTATAATGTCCAACAGTATTGTCTGAAAAAAAGATTAACTATATTTCCTAAAATCTTATGTGAAATTTTTGTGTAAATAAGAAAGATTTTTAAGTTAGTGTGTTGTATGTTTCCTTTATAGTCACAGGATAATGAATTGGACTTGTTATAAAATTATATCTTCTAATTTTTATAATAAATGGTTTGCGTTTAGTAAATGAATATTAATTCCCATTGACCCTTAAACAACATGAGAATTAGGAGCACTGATCCCCTTGCAGTGCAAAATGTGCATATAACTTTTTACCCCCAAAACCAAATAGCCTACTGTTGAATGGAAACCTTGACATAAATGAAATAATTTTTAATGAAAGAAATTTTTAAACAAACCAAAAATTTTTTTTTTTTTGAGTTGGAGTCGCACTCTGTCGCCCAGACTAGAGTGCAGTGGCCGCTCCTGGCCACCGCAGCCTCCACCTTCTGGGCTCCAGCAATCCTTCCGCCTCAGCCTTCCAAGTAGCTGGAACTACAGGCGTGCGCTACCACGCCCGGCTAATTTTTTAATTTATTGTAGAGATGAGGTCTCGCCTGCCCAGGCGGGTCTCGAACCCGTGGGCTCAGGCAATTCACTCACCTCAGCCTCCCAAAGGCGGGGGATTACAGGCTGAGCCACCGAGCCTGGCTCAAAAAATTTTTATTCATTTTTTTACTTGTCTACTTAATAAATCACTACCAGGTGTTTTGGATACTAAGCATTTTCTAATGTTGCAGATTACACACATTTAAAAAATACAGTCAGGGGCTGTTATAGCATTGTTATTTTAATTATTTACTACTTTATTCAGTACCTTCTGTGTACCAGATGCCCTTTGGGAACTTATTATTATCATTTATTATATGTTTATTATGTTTAATATGTACCAGACACTTTAAGTTCATGATGGGGAATGAAAGCTTTAAAAAAGTGGGTAGGACTTGAGGTAAGTTTTCAGAGTGAGTATAAGTTTGCCAGGTAAGGAGGCAGAAGGATGATCTGTTATCCTTAGAAATAACATGAAATCTTAAGAAATAATGTTAAGATCATCCTTAACGTTTCTTCTTGGCAGAAGAAACATCTAACAATACTGCATTTTTGACAGAAGAAATGGCAACTGTAAAAGCTGAGACACTTGAGTGAGTTTTGCAGAGTTTAGAAGCAGTTCAATTTTGCTAGTTCAGAAAGTGTGATAAGGGAATGACTAGCATGAGGTGAATACTTAGCTACAGCAAGCTTAGGGAAGACTTTTTAATAGTATGGAAATGAGTAGGTCTTATCCTATAGGCCATGGGAAAATTCTCAGGTAGAATATTTTTGGCTGCAAATACTAGATAACCTAGCAGTGGCTAAGACTGTAGAAAGCAGTGTTGATGTTTGTGATTCAGTGATATCATCAGATTCCACTTGTCTCTCCTTCAGCTGGGCTGTTGGCAGTGTTTTGTTCATGTCTCTTTTCATAGTTGGCTAATTAGTAGCTGCTCCAAACATCATGTTCTCACAAGACAATATCTATTGGCTAGAAGGGCTGGTTTTCTTCATGTTTCTTTTAAATAGGGAGAAAACTCAAAAGCTTGCAATGGACTTCCTGTAATATATTGGCTGGGTTATACTACATGCTCATCCCTAAAACCAGTCACTGGGGAAGCAATTGTAATTACTGTGATTAGCTTAGAATAATCATTTCTCTTTTTGGAGCTGTGAGGGATATTAGATGATAACTGTCCAAATAGAATTGTGTTTTTCCAGTAAGAAAGCATATAGAAAGGCTGTTGGGTAGGGAGCCAGCAATGCTTGTTTCAGGGATTTCTTGGAGAATTTTGAGCAGCAGAGTCATAAGATTAGATCTGAGTATTAGAGCATCTGGTTATGGTATAAAGCAGAGTTTGGCAAGCTTTTTCGGTAAAGGGACAGATAGTAAACATTTTAGGCTATGTGGTCTTTGTTATATCAACTTAACCCTGCTATTGTAATATCGAAGCGGTCATAGATGGTAGGTAAGTAAATAAGTATGACTGCTTCAGTAAAACTTTATTTAGAAAACTATATGGCAGGCTGAATCTTGCCTGTGGCCTGTATCTTGCCGACCCCTCATATAGAGGATAGATGGAGGATATCCACTAAAAGAGACTAGGAGAAAAAGGAAGCTTTTGCAGTAGTGAAAGGCATAGTTTCTTGTCACCAATCCTTGGGAGTAGTAGCAATCTATTATGAGGCTTTCATGATGAAATAAAGTTAGGAAGTTACAGTTTATTCATTTTAAAATGTTGGTCTTTTTTCTTGGCATTATGTCTTTTTCATTTGTTTTGCATAGAAATTTCTATCATTTAAGAAACAACATTAATGGTTTTTTTCTGGTGAAAGAGACCAGATAAAAGTCCATGTTTAACTAGGTAATGCAAACATAAACATACATATAAAATAAGTATGTTTATATTCCAGAGGTAGTAGAAATATAAAGCAGAGGCAGAAAACAGGTACAGTTAATATGATTTAGTGATTTTTGAATGTAAGAAGTTAGGGGACAGAGGGAAATCTCAGTTGATTCATAGGTTTCTAGGTTGTGCATTAGCATTTAAACTGGACGTTAAGAAGGGATAGGAAACTGTCAGTTGAACAGAGAAGAGCAGCAATTCAGCAGGGAAGACTAATTTTTTCTTATACATGTTGAATTTAATGGAATATTCATGTAGGATATTAATTTGAGTACAGTATCCAAGTGTGGTCCCAGAGGAATACTTTGTAATAAATAAACAGTGTTATGCTTTTAATATTCTTTATTTTTCTATTGTTGATTAAAATGTATTTTACTTTTTTCTTTAATAGTGGATGAAAGTTCTGAAGACTCCTTAAGCAGGTAGGATTTTGCAGATTAAAAAAAAATTTATACTTTAGCTTAAGGAATACAAAGAAAAGAAACCAGTATCTGTTGCATGTTCTTGGCTAGACCCCATATTATGTGCTCAACATTTATCATCTCATTATAGTCATCACCGCAGCTTTGCAAAGTATCTGTGCTATTTATAACTTACTTTTTAATAATAGGGAACTGTGCTTCAGAGAGATTGATTATTTGGCTGATGATCCTATAGTTAGCAAGTAGCTGACCCATGATTTGACTGTTAGCCTGCCTGGCGTCCAGATCCTTGCCCCTCAGTGTATATTGGTAGAGATTTGTGCATCCCTGGGATCAAGGTGCAGATCCAAATCAGATCAATTCAGAAAGTCAAATCTAGTTATGTTTTAACTCTCATTTAGAGTTTTCCTTAGAAGTCAGGTTAGTCCCAAGAGTTGGTCCTAATATATTTGAAAATTGCAGTAGTAACCAGTACCTTGTTTTTACCATCAAAGGTTTTAGGAGAGATGTCACTTAGCTGTGACCCCAAGACCATAGGTTTTACTAAGCAAGACCAGACAAGTCCTAGAGAGGAATTATATTACTGTAAGTTAAAGATATTTATGTAGAGGCCATGTTATTTATAGTTAGCATTATTTAGAGGCTATTTCTAATTGATTTCTCTGTTTACTAACTTCCCAGTTTGGCTTTTCTTTATGCTAGTTTCAGTGAAGCTTTTTCTTTTTTTTTTTTAAAGAGTTTTTTTTTCATCTTTCAAGACTTTTCTATAATCTTTAATTTTTTTTTACTTCTCTGCTTTTCTTGGTGTTTCTTTTGTTCTATTATATTTCTCCATTTCTGCCAGGTATTTCTCATTTTTCTAAAGACAGAATCAAAAGCACATAGAATTTCAGGATTTTAAGGAATTTTAGAGACTAATAAAAATACCTAACATCCTGGTCAAGTGGTTATTCATATGGAAAACCTGATAGTCAAAGATATTAAAGTATCTTATTTGGGTATACTAGGTAGCAGAAATGAGATTTGAACTCAGATTCCTTAATTCAGAGCCCAGTATTCTTCCCCTTTTTTAAAAAAAAATTACACCGTGAGTGTTTTAATAGTAGAAAAGGAGAGTGGGTCTAGCAAGCCTAATGGAAGAGATAAGAATGGAATTAGTAGGAGAAGACCAAGTTTGAAGAGAAACACTGGGTTGGATAGGAAGAAGCGTTTTAGAAGAGATCAGAATATTGAGGTTAATGCCAAATTTGATAAAGATAAATTGTAGGAATGAAGGACGTACAGGATGATGGGAGTTATCTAGAAAAGCATATTAAAATACAGGATTCAAGGCAGTCCTGAGCAGGTTGCTACTTTTTTGTCAGTTTAATTGTTGGAACTGACAAACTTCAGCATTGGCAAACTTTAATATTCTATTGAAAAATGTTAAAATAGGCTAGACATGGTAGCTCCTAGCCAATCTCAGCACATTGGGAGGCCAAGGCAGGGGGATCACTTGAGGTCAGGAATTCCATACTGACCTGGGCAACGTAGTGAGACTTCATCTGTACAAAAATTTATAAGTGAGCCGATGTGGTGGTCTGTGCCTGTAGTTCCAGCTACTTGGGAGGTTGAGGTGGGAGGATTGCTTGAGCCCAGGAGTTTGAGGTTGCAGTGAGTTATGATTGCACCACTGCGCTCCAGCCTGTGCAACAGAGTGAGGGTCAGTTACTTGTTAACTATGTGATCACAGGCCAATTAACCAATCTATCCGAACCACCTTCTCTTTAAAAAAAAAAGTTAAACTAACTTGAGTCACTAGGAAGAGTCTCTACAACCGATAGGAATGTGATGTTATCTACTTTAACCCCAAATTAGAGAGGAGTGGCTTTTGTATACTAGAGGGCTGGAGGTAGCTGCACTCCATAGATCTGTGGCCCAGGTCAGGTATCCCTTTACCCTCTACCTCTTTTCCCAATTTGCTGATGTCCTTCTATCAGAAGTGAAGGGATACCTGACCTGGGCCACACTATCCCATAGGGTAGGGCAAGGGTAGCATTGGCTAGCAAATCAGGCATGGAGCTTCAGATGGGTAGTTGGTAACTTGCCTAAGTGGGGGTGGGGTGGGGGGTGGGAGGTGTTTGGCGAATGATGAGACTCCATTTAGCTTTTTTTCTGGAAGGAAAATAGAGAGCCTCTTCTCTTGGTCATTTGAGCCCATCCTTCCTGGAATCTGTGCTTTCATAGGCTGAAGATTTGATGGTTGGAGCCTGCTGTTGAGTGCTTTTGAAGGGGTATCTGGAAGTAGGAACCTATAGTAAGGCAGATATTTAGGTAGTAAGTAAGGATATAGAGTTACAACTACCAGGACTCTGTTTTTCCAGCAATCACTCTCCTTGGGTAAAGGTTTTTCTACTAAGGTTTTTCTAATGTTTTGATCTCTGGGAAGAGTATTTCCGATGACAGTATATACATTTGTTCTTTGACTTTTGTACATTTACCTTTCAAACATTTCAAATGTTTCAGAGGACTCTTCTCTTTTAGGGTAAAGAGAAGCAATGGGACTGTAAGTGGTTTCCATGCTGAAGAACCAAGACTGCCGTTTTCAAGTGACACAGATTAGTTTTTGAGCCAGAGATAAATAATGGAGAAGGGGTGGTATATCTTTCCACCATGTTTTAGGTTATCCAGTTTGTTTCAGTTAGGTAACCAAAGTTATGTCAGCCATTAATTGGATTTTCAGTTAAACCTTCAGGACAGACAATTTGTGAAGACAGTTTATACTCAGCTTCTGCCAATATATTAGCAGTCACTATTATAGAACTAAGGGTGAGTCTTCATGACTATTTCATAAGTTGAGAGGCAGCAATAGGTAACTAAACTTTTTTCTAAACAGAGGCCAAATTTTAATTATCCAGAAACATTTAATATACAGATAGCTGTCCTTCACCAGATTTTTGTTTTTGTGTTTTGGAGGAGGCACCTGAATAAGAAATGGTAGATTTTTTTTTTAATGAACTTATTCATTTTTGTGTATTTTTGCTCTAAAGACTTTCTGGCAAACCTGGAATTGATGATTCATGGCCTACCTCAGATGATGAAGACTTTGATTTTGATACTAAGGTAAAGTGCTCTCTTGTGAAATTAATTTTCTCACTCTGAATCTAGTTTTGTATAGTGTTTACTCTTAATATTTAGCAGTGGTCTACATACTGTAGTTTTTTGTTGTAATGGAAAGCTGGTTAGAGGAAACAATTTTATAGAAATATGACTAATTGAATTTTTATTTTTATTTCTTTTTGAAAGTGAGAAAGCAGGGTTTATTGAGAGGACAGAAAAGCTCCTGCAATGGAAGGGTACCTCAGGGGATTGCCCACTAATTGAATTAAAAAAATTTTTTTTTTTACTTTGGTAAACAGCAAAGGATTGGTAAAAGCTTCGAGGGGATGGGGGCTAAAAAGAATGGGCTGGAAAATAAATAGTGATAGGAAAAGCTTACCCACAATAGAGGAAATTAGAAATTTGGTGAAGGTTTATATGGGTAAGTAGTCTTACTGTGTGTTTTATATAATATTAACATGACTTTTATAATAATTAAACTTAACTAAATCTTTAATGGACCTCATTATGAATTATAGTAATCATGGAATCTCCTTGGTGCCTTTCAGTTTTAAAACTGCACAACACATAGTATACAGTTTCTTTTTTTTTCTTTCTTGGACACTTACTGTATTCATATTATATAGTTTTTAAGAGAGAGCTTTCCCTCTCCTTCTATCTTTGGCTCTATAGTTAGATTAAAAGAACATTAGAAATTGTAGAAATTTAGCTTGTTGTGGTGGTGCATGTATATAGTCCCAGCTACGCAGGTAGCTGAGGTGGGAAGATCATTTGAGGCCAGGAGTTGAGACCAGCCTGGGAAATATAGTGGAACGTCATCTCTGCTTTAAAAAGAAAGAAAGAAATTGTATACATTTAGAATTATAAATTCTCTATTTTCCAGTGCAAACAAATTTCAGAAAATAATATGTAATTAATTTAAATTTCTTGATGTTAGATTTTTCAGCCATACTGTAAACTACCTAGGGATAAATTTTTGTTCTGGGTTATTTTGCTTAAGAAAGTAATCTAATAGATATCATGGTATTTATATAATAATTAGAGGTAAGAGGAGTAATATTTTGAGGATATCTGTATCATCTCTCATAATCCTCACCTTATTAGAAGATGTAAATGGCAGAATTATGGTTTGAATTCACAACTGAGTGACTCCAAAACATGTGCTCTTTGTGTTAGGTCATATAATAGAGTTATTTTATCAGTTATGAATCTTGTTATTCTTGATTCTTGTTATTCATAAGGCTTTTTTTTTTTTTTTCTAGAATGTCCCCAAACCAAGCTTAACAAAGCTAATGACTGCTTCTCAGCAATCCAGGAAAAGTTGTAAGCTATTTCAAGACTGGCTATTTTTGTTTCATTCACTGATTCTTAATTACAAATTTTTTTTTTGTATTCTTTACTTTTTTTTATTGTAGTAGAAGCAAAATGTGACATTGTAAGAACAGAAAATAGAACCTCGTTTGAGGACAGGAATTATGATAGTGAAAATGAAGATGTTGAAAGCCTTTCTACATCAGTTAAACTCCAGGGCTTTTCTCATCCTACCTGTCCGTCACCTGACCCTCTTCTGAAACCTTCCCTCAAGTCTTTAGAAAACCCTGTTCTTACAAAGGTAAGTAGTTTTTTAAAAAACTTTTTCACTGGATACAAGCACTTTGGGAGGCAGAAGTGAGAGGATTGTCTAAGCCCAGGAATTTGAGACCAGCCTGGGCAGCATGGTGAGACCTCGTCTCTAGAATAAATAAAAAAATTAGCCAGGTGTGGTGGTGTATGTCTGTCGTTCCACCTACTTGGAAGACTGAGGCAGAAGGATCCCAGCAGGTCGAGGCTGCAGTAGCTGTGATCAAGCTACTACCCTTTAGTCTGGATAACAGAGTGAGACTCTGATTAAAAAGAAAAAAAAAAAACACCAAAAACCAAAAAACTTTTCCCCTGTGCTCTTTTTTCATACCATCTCCTTTGATTCTCATAATGATGACAATGATCCTAGAAAAATATCTGTAAAGAAAAAGAAAAAGAAAAAAATAAGTTGATGCAGGTAAACAGTTATTAGGGTGCCGTTATAGATGGAAAGAATTAGAAAGCAACCCAAAAGGATAGCTCAATAAACATGAAGATGAGGAGAAAGATGAAGGGGAAGAATTCATTTAAGAAGGGCAAAATAGAGATAGAATAAGAGAATCAAGATGAGAGAGATTATACATAAAAACAAATAGTGGAGTTAAATGACAGAAAGAACTCTATATTATAGAATGTGATAGATTTTGTTTATTTTACTATTTTATTTTGCTTTATTATATTATTTTTTATGTCCGAGTCTCACTCTGTTGCCCAGGGTAGAGTGTAGTGACATAATCACGGCTCGCTGCAGCCTCAACCTCCTGGACTCAGGCGCTCCTTCTATGTTTGCCTCCCAAGTAGCTGAGACTACAGGCCCATGCCACCATGCCTGGCTAATATTTTTTATTTTTTGTAGAGATGAGATCTCGCTGTGTTGCCCAGGCTGGTCTCAAACTCAAGCAGTCCTCCTGTCTCAGCCTCGCCAAAGTACTGGGATTATAGGTATGATAGGTAAATTTTTTTGAGTTGGAGTCTCACTCTGTCGTCCAGGCTGGAGTGCAGTGGCACGCTCACAGCCACTGCAGTCTCAACCTACTGGGCTCAGGTGATCCTTCCGCCTCAACCTTCCAAGCATGTACCACCACACCTGGCTAGGTTTTTATTTATTGTAGAGATGAGGTCTCACCAAGTTGCCCAGGCTAATCTCGAACGCGTGGATTTAGGCAGTCCTCTCACCTTGGCCTCCAAAAGTGCTGGGATTATAGGCAGGAGCCACCTTGCCCAGCCATCTTTCTCCAATTTTTTAAGTAACATCCTGTGTGGTGTAAATGGGAAATTAGAACTATTAGTATGTTGTTTAAAGGAGAATAAGAAAACTGTAAAATTTAAAATAGAGTTTTACATTTCTTTCTTACATCATTGTAGTACTTGAAAGTACTTCTTAATTCTATAATCACAAAACCATTTCTCTTCTACAAGTTAAACACTTTTAAGATTCATTTTAAAAAGGAATCTTCTTGTAGCATCTTGAATTGATGTTTTAGAATTAAATCCTTTCATTCAATAAAAATGCATATAACCATAATATTCCAGAAATAAATTTTGTATGTTAATAAATATATACTTTATATCTTTGAAGAAAATGTTGAAATATATAATTGATTAATTGAATCCTATTTTTTCTCTCTTTTTGTTTTCATGTTCAGAATTTAAGAGTTTTGTATGGGCTTGCATTATTTAATTTTATCAGTTTAGTATACTTTACAAATAGTTATATCTTCTTAACACAATATATTTTTCATCTATTCCTACTCCAAATGTATTTATCCAGATCTGTCTTCTAAGTTCCCTAGTTGCCTCACATTTGATATGTTCCAAACTGAAGACATTGTCCTTGATCCTTTCCTGACTCTTTTCTGAGTCTTTGAAATGTGCTCTGTCATCTGGTTTCCCCATCATAGTAAATAACACCTAGTAAATAGTACTGAAATATTGAAGCAGGACAATCTAGCACTCCAGCCCTCCCTCAAATCACCAATCTAGTCATTCACCAAGTTCTGTATTTCCTGCCTGCTTACCCTTTTTTTAATGTCTTATTATTACCCTAATTCACCTATTTTTTTTTTTTTTTTGGAGACAGGTTCTCTCCACAGTTGCTGTGAATGAGCAGCAACTGTCACTCAGGCTAGAGTGTAGTGGCATGATCATAACTCACTGTAGCTTCAACCTCTTGGGTTCAAGCGATCTTTCTGCCTTAGCCTTCCAAGTAGCTGGGACTACAGATGTGTGCCATCACACCCGAATGTTTCTGTTTTTTTTTTCTCAAGTTTTTGTAGAGACAGAGTCTCACTGTGTTTGCCCAGGCTGGTCTCAAACTCCCAGCCTCAAGCAATCTTCCTGCCTCGACCTCCCAAAGTGCTGGAATTACAGGCATGAGCTGCTGCATTCGACTTTTAATTAACTTTCCATCCTATAATTTTGAAATACTCTTTTCTAATTTTGCCCTCACCCCTACATTCACCTATTTTTTTTTTTTTTTTGAGTTGGAGTCTCACTCCGTCGTCCAGACTAGAGTGCAGTGGCATACTGCTGGCCACTGCAGCCTCGACCTGCTGGGCTCCGATGATCCTTCCGCCTCAACCTTCCAAGCAGCCGGTACTACAGGCGTGCGCTACCATGCCCGGCTAATTTTTGATTTATTGTAGAGATGAGGTCTCGCGAAGCTGCCCGGGTGGGTCTTGAACCTGCGGACTCAGGCAATCCACTCACCTCAGCCTCCTAAGGTGCGGGATTACAGGCTGAGCCACCAAGCCTGGCTCACATTCACCTATCTTCTCTACATGGCTTCCAGGGTGACCTTCGTAAAATATATATGTGGGAACCTAACTTATCTGCTTATTGAGTGGATCCCTGTTTCATGAAAGGAAAGGTCACATTCTAGTATCCCACATGCCTTTTGTGGTTTGGCCTGATTCTTCTCTCCATTCCATTCCCTCAACTGTGCTCCAGTTTTACTACATACTTTGGTTCCTCTCATTTGCCTTGTTGTTTCATGCCTCATCCATTTTCTTATGCTGTCCTCACTTTGCACTTGTCTGTCTTTAAAAATATGACCCTACCTTTGCAACATTTCCTGAGCTTCCAGGTAAAACTGACTCCTGTCTCATTTGTGCCCTCACTGTCCTATATTTACTCCAGTCAAAGAACTAGTGAATGCCGGGCTCGGTGGCTCAGCCTGTAATCCTGCGCCTTTGGGAGGCTGAGGTGAGTGGATTGCCTGAGCCCGTGGGTTCGAGACCCGCCTGGGCAGCAAGACCTCATCTCTATAATAAATCAAAAAATCAGCCGGGCGTGGTAGCGCATGTTTGTAATTCCGGCTACTTGGAAGGCTGAGGCGAAAGGGTCTCCAGAGCCCAGCAGGTCGAGGCTGCGGTGGCCGGGAGCGGCTACTGCACTCCAGTCTGGGCGACAGAGTGAGACTCCAACTCAAAAAAAGAAAAAAGAACTAGTGAGTTATACTTTTCTGTTCTTATTTGTTTTCATATTTCTCTATTTCCATTTGGATATAGGACAGATTCTGTGTTCTATTTCTATTTTCAGCTTCTCCCAAGATAGTGCCTATGAGTTGATAGACACAGTAAATGTTTGTCTTACTGACCAATTGAGTGGGTGAGTGAATAAATGCAATGTTTTCTGAAGTTGATTTTTTTTTTTAGGAGGGAACAACACAGCCAGCAACTGGAAAGAAAGAAAATGATATTGGTGTTACTGAAAGTGGTCCACCAGAACAAACAAATAATGACAATTTGACTTATGTTGATGGAGTGCCCAAAAATAATAGAGGTGGTAAGTTAGTGATTATCTGTGAAAATTTTTATATTTACATGCTGTCATAAAAAAAACCAATTAACATGTGTAGACCCAAATATAATATTCATTTTTTAAATATTTTTCTTTTACCATCTCATATTACTAACTTCTTCCTGAAACTGATTTAACCCTCTGAAATTCTTTTTTGCTATTACTTGTATTTTATTGAAATATTCATGAATGGAGATAGACTTGTATATGTATTTAAAATTCACAGAAATAAATGTTCTCATGACTGTATCTGTGTATCACATTTTATAGAAATGATGTCCGCATTAGGATTAGGACAAGAGGAAGATATAGAATCACCTTGGGATTCTGAGGTACTGTCTATTGTTGTTACTATTTTAAAATGTAAGTATTGAGTGATATTAAAACATAAAGGGGACAGCTTTGACTTTCTCACCTGTACATATGCCCGTAAGAAATTATTTTCTTACATTTTTCAGCTCGTAATTAATAACGTAATTGTGTGCTAAGTAGGTTACTGCTACATAATACAGTTCTGCTAATTTTTAGGATTCATTTAAGAACCCAATGTAGTATATTCTCCTCCCTTCTCCCCCCCAAAAAGACTTAGAAGTCACAAGGAATCAGTTTGGGTTCTGAAGTTAGGTTTACCTAAAAAACTAAAGTTATTTCAGGCCAAATGTATGATACTATGGTATATATGGATGTGTAGAAGTCCTAATGAGATTTATAGAAAAACATAGGACTATAATTTTTTACAACTTGGAACTTGAAAAGATATTGACTGGGACTTGAATGTGTTCCTATATTTGGATTGTCAGGTATAGATCTGCAAGGAACATTTCAGGAGAAGGAAAAGCTTGGGCAACAGTCATTAACATGGGATGATATGTTAGTTTAGTGGGTTTTTTTCTGGTTCAAGTTTTCTCATGAGGTGTTGTAATAAGTAGAAATCATTTTCAAAAACAGAACGCCTTGAGTCCCTTTGTGGCAGCCATGTTTGTAGTAATGTAAGTATAAAATATTGACAATAAATTCTAAGGTGACAACTCTGGAAAGAGATGAAAAGAACTTGATCTCTTAGATAGAAGTAGCTGCTACCTAGTGGTACCAGCACTGAGTGGAAGTCAAAAGATATGTTAATATCCTGGTTCTGTCACTTATTAGTTAAGGAATCTTGGAAAAAATTATTTAACCTATTAGAATGTCAGTGACTTTGTTTATGCAAATGGTATTCATATCTACCTTTTAGGTATGTGAAACATAAAATAAAGCCAAATTTTTCTTAGTGCTTTTTAATTTTATTTAACCATTTTTCCTATCAGTAAACGTTTTATAAAAAACTATTTAGATTTTTCCAAGCCCTTGTTTACCTAAATGAAACAGCTTCTACAATATTCTGTTCATATCAACATGATATACTCTGAAGTTTCTTATCATGCCAAATATATTACTTTATCACTAAAAAACATTTCTGTAATTAGAACTACTTTAAATGTTTAATGCCAGAGGTATTATACCAAGTATATTGTAATTTTAAAAAATACTCTCTTAGTTTTGGTGAGGAATGCAAAGTAGAGTTAGATATTTTGAAGTTAGTTTGTTGTTGAGATGTACACATATGTTAATGTTTGTCTGTGAATGTTTCCTTTGAACTTCTATGCTTGATTTACAGAGTCAATAGACATATGAAGATAAACTCGATATAGAGAGTATATACGAGGAGCTCTACTAAAGTGTTTTGGTTTTCATTGCATGCTTCTGCTACTTTTAAGTATAATTGCTTTTAAAATAGGAAATTCAGATTATTTTTGAAAGTGGTTAGAAAATCTTTAGCAACTCGTTATTATTGTTCAAAAATGGAAACTTATTCTTGATATTAATTTTCAACAGAGTATCTCTGAGAATCTTCCACAGAAGTATGCTGGCCATTTATCTGGGGCTACAGATCAAGATGAAAAAAACATAGTAAATGGACAAGTAGAAGGTAAGAATTGTCTTTTGTAAAGAAAAATCATTTGATAGAATGTTCATTTAAAAACATGAGCACTGATATATTCAGATAGTCAAAGAAAACACCCATTAAATGCAGAGTAAGAATGAAGAGAAGTGGAATGTTAATGTATATCCTATTAGATGTCAGCAACAGATTGAATTGAGAGTGCTGCTAACGGAACTGAATTCTAAGTTCCATTTCAAGGTATTCTGAGACCTGAAGAAAGTCAGGAAATAAGAGGAAGAAAAGAGTAAAAGAGGGAATAAAAGGTGAGGAAGGCAGAGAGTACTGGGGGAAAATGTGAAAAGAAGCAGGTGTGTATAAGAGAGTGACAAAATAAAATAATTCTTTAGAAACAGGAAGAGAAGGGTATTAGAAAGAAGGGGGAAATATAAAGTGAGCTTCCAATACCAAAACTTGTAGAAGTAGAGAAAAATGTTTCCACTTTTCCTGTTGTCCTCTATTTTGGAAAGGCATTAAGGATTGAGGTACCTGTTCATGCAAAGCTGTGCTTTAGCTACAAGAAGTAAATGTAAGCCTATGTGATCAACCATAATGTAATGTCATATAAAATGTTGTCACTTCATAGAATAGTGTTGGGTAGGTCAAAATAAGAGAATTGGAAAGAAGAGAGTAGGGTTAATTATGGAGAGATCAAGGAAGCTGTAGTCTCATAAAAAGTCCATTAGAAACTTTATGACTTGTGATAGAGTTTCAGTTTGAAGGACATGATAGGGAGGAACTTGAGGCTAGATTCTAAAGGGGCAAATTAAGATAAAGGAATGTGAAAGCACACCTGGTATAGTCCAGAGCTTCTCAAACTTTAATAAATCATCTGGAGGCTTTGTTAAGAATGCACGTTCTGATTCAGCAGGTCTGGGATTCTGCACTTTGAATAAGTTCTCAGGTGATGCCAATGCTGCTGGTCCTTGGACCATGCTCTGATTAGCAAGGGAATAGACTTCCCTTTAGAGAAATCTGGAAAAAAAAAGCCATTGGATAATAGTTTAAGACTCAACAGGATCAAGGGAAAGCATTATTTTGCTCTTATTTCTGGGCATGTTTCCAGCCACAGGGGAAGGAGAAAATAGATAAAGAAATAAAAATTGTAGATGTAAGATATTACTGCTAAATGAAAAGGAAAGAAGTGGTGAGAATTATCCATAAAAAACATTGTAGAAGGGGAAGAATCAAAATCACAGATCTAGAGATTACTTTAGCAAAGGAAGAGGAATGGTGAAGTGGGGAAAGGAGGGAGGAAAGAAAGAAGTTAGTTCCCAATTCACTCCAATTTTGGAGTTATTGATGAGGAAACTTGAGAGAACTCACTTGAGATGACTTCAGTATATTTGCACTCAGAAGTCTAGATTATTGTTGCTCCAGATTTGCTGAAAGCAGAAGGAAATGCTACAATTGATAGAATTGGGGTAAATCATAGCAACTCATTTTTCCTATCTGTAGCTCTCAGGCATCAAAGATGTGTTTCATTGTTATTAGTTAAGCAAATGAGATTACTTTTAATATGAAGTATTGACTTTTTTTCCCAAGATAGCTAATTTTTTTGGTCAAATAGCTATTTCATAAAAAAAAAAATCCTATAGACTAACATGATATGCCAAACCAAACTGATTTTAGAAAACAAAAAATTGTAGACTTTATTCTTTGAATGCTAAAATTGTTATTTTCAGTAAATATTGCACTGATTTTGAAACATAAAATGTTATTAATATCTACTAATTCTATTGCAAATAAATTTTTTTCTTTTTGATAAATGTGTTAATATCGAAAGCTTATTATACATTATTTCTTAGATGTATTTTATATACCTTCTTTCATGAGTGGATCAAGAAATTTTAAGATGGCTAGACTAGAGGATACAAGAAATGTAGGCATACCAGTAGTCCACATGGGTATGGAAAAAAATGAATATTTTTACTAACTATTATTCTACAAGTATATATCCAAGCTGATCGATTTAGAACATTTTCTCTGCTGAGAAGTGAATTATACATTCAACCGAATTGTCAACACAACTCTTTACTTCCTAAATTATAGAACAAATTGAAGAACATGATAAATAAATACTTGTAGTATAGTGGTATAAATGATTCTGATATGTTGCATTAAAGAGATGCTGTTGCCTCCTACCATCAGCTCTGATTATCTTCTCAGGGTCATGATTTGCTTCTCTGATCCTCCTCATTAGTCAGCATGCTCACATTGGTGTATGTGTATTTTCCTATTTTAGTTATAGTCATTTGAAACATAATCTAACTTTTGAAATCTTAACTGCATGTTTTATTTTGAAACCTATATTCCTGTTTTCTCAGTATATTTCTATCATATTGCTGTCCTAACCAAAAAACAAAAAAAACACTGCAAAGCCTAAAGTAATCATTCAAAGCCAAGCATGAGGATTCAGCTTAATACTAACTGCATGAATGTGTGACTGTTGTCTTATTTACATGTAATTGATGATATGTCCCTTTTCCTTTTTAGAGTCTCCTGGGAGATATCCTAACATGAAGGTAGTAACTTTTATGTTTTTATCTTGAATTATTAACTACACATTGTATGAAATACATGTTATTTATTAATCATTTTGTTTCAAAACCCATTCAGCCTCCCATTGAAATGAAAGATTCTGCTCTGAATAAAGCAATAGGGATGAAGGACAAACAAACACCTAGATCAGGTAAATTTTGCAATAAAAATTTAATTCTGGAAACACATTAAAATATTTGAAATACTTAGTCTTTTTCATCCCGAATTCTTTTTTTTCCAAATTTGATGGAAGAATTGACATAAATAATGCAGATTTATTGTTCATATCTATGTTTGAAATCTAGGCAACCTGCTCATCCAGGAACTGTCTGCAGCTGTGGAGTTTGCCCTTGGGGCCTGTCCCCTCCTAGGCTGTGCACAAGAGTTGAGTTCCTGGGAAATGGTGGCTGGCGCTGCTCAAGGCTTTCTTTTTTCCTGAACTACTCCACAGCAGAGCATGGCTGTGGATCAGATGGTTTTCTGTGGGGGACTGGGTCCCACAAGCCTCAGGGGGCCCTGTATGTTCACTACAGGAGTACAGAACTCCCAAATTTCTGTCACTCACATTCCCCACTGCATCTGGGGGCTGTGGTGGACTGTGGTGATACAGGCGAGTGTCTGGCCAGCTCCAGCCTAGGTCAATGAATTTTTTTCTTCTTTAATCTAAGCTTTTATTATCACTCCTTTGGAGAGTTGTGGAGTGTTCTGCTGGACTCATTCCTCTCTGGGTGCTGCAAAAACTATCTTGGTTTACTCTGTAGGAAAACTCACTCTAGCTGCCTCATATTAGCCATCTTAATCCTATCTCTCTCAGAAGTATTTCTAAAAGAACTAAATATTCTGCTAAAGATTAAGCTTTATTTAAACTAGCAATTTATAAAAATAAATATTATTTTCTCATCATTTTTATAAAGACTAACTTTTATCTAACTTTTCTATGTTGTTTATTTTAACTAAATATACAGATTTGTTAGCAGGACATGACTTGGAAGTGACATCAGAGGAAGAGAAAGACAGACTTGAAGAAAGTGAAATTAACCAGCCACAGGTATTGTACAAATTTAAATTTAAATTTCTAATTTAATATCGTTTTCTTGTTTTAATAACGTAGTATAGTTAAAATGAAATTAACTTTTCGACTAGCCTTATAGAATCAACAGTTATAATTTGATGTTTAATATCTAATTCCCAAAACAAATTTTTTGAGACTCACTCTGTCACCCAGGCTGGAGTGCAGTGGCATGATGATCATGTCTCACTACAGCCTTGACCTCCCAGGTTTAAGCGATCCTCTTGCCTCAGCTTCCTGAGTATCTGGGACTACAGGTGCAAACCATCATGCCTAGTTATTTTGTTGTTGTTGTTGATAGAGATGAGGCAGTCTCATTATGTAGCCCAGGCTGGTCTCAAACTCCTGGCCTCAAGCAGTCCTCCCACCTTTGCCTCCCAAAGTGCTGGGATTACAGGTGTGTGCCACCACATCTGGCTAATTTTAAAAACATTTAAATTAGTTATAAAACTTAAAGTATTCTTAAAATCTTTAGCAACTCATAGCTAATATTTACCCTTGGAAGTGAACCAAAAAATATCCTGAAAATTGTTTGCAATTCCATTTTTGTAACATTCTTACATGATGAAGTTAAGCACCAAATATTGAATTATAGCATTAAGCAATAGAAATTATAAACATATAACAGTGATGACCACTGATTTGGATTTGTGCTAAAGGAATAAACATTCCCACTGGTCAAACTGGCAGTTTTGTATTGCCAGTAATTCTAGCCAAGGGTAAAGATATATGCCTTGTAGTCTCTAATTGGCTTCAGTGTCTTTGTCCAGGGAAAAATTGGAGTCATAAAATCAACCTAACTGCCTATTAAGAGAATCATACCTTTCAGAATGAGACCTTTGGTGTTAGGGCACAAACAATACTTTCCTAACAATTTCAGTGTAGAAAATTAGTATATATTATTAGCATTTTAAAATCTACTATTAATGGACCTTAGAATATATTAGAACTGAACTTATGCAGATAGTTTATACAGATGCATAACCCTATCGTATTACAGTATATAATTTGAGTTAAAATAAAAGTATTTGCTTTTCTTTCTGATTGGTATTGTTTTGGCTCCTAATAATCTAAAGTTTGTCTACTTTCCAGCTATAAATCTTTATAGAAGTACTTAAAGGTAGGGGCTCACTATTATAGGTATGATGAGGTAAAATCTTTTTAGTGAGGAAGTTGTAATACTACAAATTATCTTCTAATTCATTTTTGGTAGATTCGATAAATGAGTTAAGCTTAGTCCAAATAAACAGTGACAGAATTAAGTTTGTTAGTTCACGTTTTTCTGCTGTTTTAGGGTGCAGCAAATTATTTTTACTTCTTGGTTGCAATCCAGTGATTTGGGAGTAGGTAAGCATAGATTAAGAAGTTTAACAGTTAAATTTTAATTATTTCCTAATTTTTCTTTGTCCATACTTGATTACTTAAGGATAAAGTTGTTTTAAAAACATTCACCCTGAAAGAAAGGACATCTGAGAAACAAAACAAGCAAATTAATCTTCTACTTTCACAAGTGCAAAAAATGTCTCAAGAACCAGAATTGAATAATAAGGGTTGTGATAGAGAGGATATGTCTGTATATTCAGAACTTCCTTCGGTGCAAAAGGATGAGGAAATGTGGACCAATCAAGGCAAGTTAGAGTGGAAAAATAATTTAAAACTCATTACAAATGAATTAAAGCAGAGCTGTGGTGAAATTTGTAAAAAATACAAAGTTACTGCTTGTCCTAAAGAAGAACCAGTACATGAAAACTCTAAAGGAGAAGCAAACTTAAAGGAAATACACTCTAATTTAATAAATAATATACTTGATTGTGAGGAAAAAGATGCCACTATCTCTGTAGTATTCCAGACATTTCCTGAACAAAAAGAGTCCAGTCTCAAAAATGTCTTCCCATCTCCTTCATACTCTGGGTCTCTGGAATTTACTTGCCAGTCATCTTCTAAGCGTTATTTAAATGAATATAAACTAGACTGTGACGATGATAACAAAACAGATACTGAATGTGTTTTTAACACAGATGTGGAGAATTTTTATAATGATACAGAAAACAAAAATGTCAGGAACCCAGAAGTAGTTACAGTTGAAATGAAAGAAGACCAAGAGTTTGATACACAAATGACAAAAAATATGAACCAAACGACCACTAATTCGAACACTGGACATATGCCTCAGTCTAGAGATTCAAAAAACCTTTTGGATTTGTGGCTTACCCACGCCAAAGAAATAAAACATACAATTCAAATAAAAAGGCACAGTGTTTCTTCTGTTACAGACACTTATAAGAAAACAAAATCAATACAGGACTTGTTCCAGAAGCCATTATATGATCATTGCAGTGCTGATAACTATAAAGGTATGGAACCTGAATTAGAAAACATGAGTTATTCTCCACAACATAGTGACAGAACACCAAAAGTATATCTAAAAGAAGAATTGCAGCAAGATATGCAAAGATTTAAAAATGAGTTAGGCATGTTACAAGTAGAGTTCCTGGCTTTGGAGAAAGAGAAAGTTCAACTTCAAAAAGAGGTAGAGATTCACTTGTGGTTACTCTTTGTTTTTTTCCTTATTAAATGTCTGATCCATTCTGATTTTCTTCTTATGAAAAGCTCATATATCTAAATATTAATGTAATTGTGTGTAGAAATAGATTATTTCTGCTATCTAAATAACAGGATCCAGGAAAACATTCTCTTAATCTTTGTTCCTTAATCAACCTAAGTTCCTCTATCAGTCTTCCAAGTGGCATATGAACTGGGAAATTGGCTTACCCATGTACTATGTAGCCTCCTGAACCAGGAGAAGCTGAAAGGAAATTGCTTAAAAAAAAGTAGTAAGTGCTAGGGTTTTTCCCCATATTGACTTAACTATAAATTGCATTTATATAAACAATAAAATGAAAATACAGTGGGAAGGAAGCAGTGATTGAGAAGAAATAGAAAAATATATCTAGCCTTGAGAGTTGCAACAAATATCCCCAACCAAAGGGAGTTCTTTAATGTGCCTGCAATTTTAATGTACAGATCTATCTGTTTAACTGTTGGAACTTATAATTCCATCATAACCACTTTAAATATTTTTGACAACAAATATATATACTTCTACCTATTTTTAAAAATCACTACTCTCAAATGTTTCTGTTGAATCAGACCTTTAAATTATATTGTTTCATAAAGTATGGTAAATTTTGGCTTGTATAATTTTATCATGTAGGAACATAATCAACCAAAAATTTAGTATTTGACTTCAAAGTAGAACTCTGAGTTCTGTTTATTGATTATTAAAGATAGACAAAAATCTGGAGATATTCCTCTTTAAGATTAAAAGTAGGTTAAAACCACCAACCCTCAGCTAAGCTATTAAATTAATTTTTAATTCATCTTATCAATTTGACGAGTTTATCTGGTAATTTGTCTGATTCAGCATTAGGGAATTATATCATTTATTTTGGTGTCATAAGATGCTAGGTAATGCCACTTTGGGCCCTTTGATGAATAATTGAGTATTTCTTGCTTTCATATTATTAGTAGATAATGTGGCTAAATTAGATGATTGCTTATACTATATATCTTCCAGCTATCAAATTTTGTGGTTATTGAATGTGAAATTTGAGAAGCATCTCCTTTTCCAGAATTGCACACTAGCAACTCAGCAGTTTCATTCTGCTCCTTGTGTTGTGGCAAACTTTGATTTGTTTATTTCAGTGATCACCTTCACTTTTTTTGTATATCCCAGGGTCCAAATGAAAAAATAATTATACAAAGCAGTGGAGAAAATAATAGCTTAATGCAAAAAAGAGGAAGGCTTCTTTCTGTTCCAGAAACCCTACAATGTTATATATTCTAAATTTGGCTGTTTAATGTAAATTCTAAGTGGTACAGATAGAAGAAGACACCATGGCTTTGTCTTCTTATTTCTCTGTTTCTGCCAGTAAAACAGGGTGAAAATTCATGTTAGACCCTAAAGTGTAGATGGGAATAAAAGCACAAAATTAAGGGCCCTTTTTGAAACTTTGGAAAATTCTGTTTCATGCAAACAGAAATGAAGCAGGCTTTACAAAAACTTTAATGATAAAATTATAACAATTCTTTTTATAATTATGACAGTTATATATAATGATAACATTAAAGTAAGCAGAAAATATTTTTATTGACTAAAATCATGACAACTAAACTGAGTTAAATGCCCAAATCAATGAGAACAAAAAGTTCTTTTTATTGAATAAAAGTAATAATTATTTTTAGTATTAAACTTTAATTGAAGGTTGAAGAAGAAAGGAAGAAGCACAGAAATAATGAAACAGAAGTATCAGAAAACCTGTATGATAGGGCAGCTGATGGTGATGATGATGGACTAATTCAACAAAGAAAGAGTGGAAGGACTGGTAATCAGCCATTTCCTATGAAGGAGAATGAAGAGTGTGACAGGTAAGCATATAACAATATATAGCAGTAGATAATTGTTATTGTATTCTAAAATGAATTCTAATTTCGAGTAATACTCACGATTAACACATTTTAAACTTTTGCTAAGGATATTCAGTCTTGCCTGGTAGTCAGAAAAATGCACAGTGACTAACAGTGACATACCATTTTTTTCCAATCATATTAATATTTTATTATAAAAATAATTATCAATTTTGGCAAATGTGAAAGAAAAAGGTATTCCCCTACATCTTTCTTAAATGAAATTGGTAAGTCGTTTTGTTTGCAGGTTAATTTAGTAGCATGTATCAAGATTTCAAATATTGCATTCCTTTATCCTAACAGCTTCACTTCTGGGATTAGAGTCTACAAGAAAATATGACTTGTGTAAACAGATATACATACACATAAGTTCAGGACAGTTATTATATATTACATATAACACACAATAGGCCCATATAAATATGTCATATACATATAACAAATGTTAAAGATATATATGTGATGTTAAGGATATTTATATAAATATGTTACGTACAAACGTGTATGTTAAGGATATTTATTAGCTTTGTCATATCAAAAAGCTGGAGATAGTGTAAATACCCATTATTGAGGAAATAGTTAAATTGTCATGCCCATGAAATAATGTATACAGCCATTTAATAAAATGAGATTTGATCTATATTGCACTGATTATTTCATAGTTAAAGTTTATTTAAAGCACTTAGTTTGGTGACACATCTCAAGCAAATTTTGTTATAATACAATATTGTAATATCAGTAATGCTTGTAATATCTACTGAGTTGCAGATGGAAGCTACATACTACCTTGGCAAAGTTAGCAACAAAATTGCTAGTTATTCAAATATTGGTTTTTGTTTCAGTGCATAAGTGCTCAAATATTGGACCCTCAAAATTATCTCAGTATTGCCAAGGAATTGCTTATGGGGATGCATATATGCATTTCAGTATGTTGGATAACACTCATTCAAATATATTTGATCTGGCCGGGCTCGGTGGCTCAGCCTGTAATCCTAGCACTTTGGGAGGCCGAGATGAGTGGATTGCCTGAGCCCGCGGATTCGAGACCTGCCTGGGCAACTTGGTGAGACCTCATCTCTACAATAAATCAAAAATCAGTCTGGGCGACAGAGTGAGACTCCAACTCAAAAAAAAAAAAAAAAAAAAAATATATATATATATATATATATATATATATATATATATATATATATATATTTGATCTGCTAAACCAGGAGTTGGCCAATGTTTTTTGTAAAGAGCAAGACATAAATATTTTAGGCTTTGTGGATTATAGGGTGTCTATTGTAGAGTAAAATCTGTCATAGACTAGTGAATAGTCATGGCTGTGTTCCAATAAAACTTTACTTATAAAAATAGGCTGTGGACTAGATTTGGCCCACAAGCATTAATTTGATGACCTCTGTGCTAAAACTTAAAGGCACCCTGCATGCAGGCATTATTATCCTTTCTTTTAAAAGATATTTCAGTGTGTATGACACAATATTTTTCAACAGTGACTTTATATTATATAATATACAAAAATTCAGTTTAAAATTAAGATTATTTTCTGCATTTCTCCCCCTTTATTTCTGTGATAGAATTCAATATTTTAATATTACTAATTCTTTGGTACTTGACAAATATAAAATATTCTAGAGTCAGATGAATTTTATCAAGCAAGAAATACTGCCCTTGAAACTTTTAGTCTTTCTGTGTACTTTATAAGTTTGAGCAAAATGATAATCAGCTTATTTAATATATAAATGTTCAGGGGATCTTTTAGTTGTGTAATTTTATGAATTTATTATCTAATACTGTGGTCTGGTGTTTTAAAAAAATGCCTTATATTTATAATTTTAAAACCTTTAGACTGGACATGGTCACTCATGCCTATAATCCTAGCACTTTGGGAGACTGAGGTGGGAGGATCACTTGAGCCCAGGAGTTTAAGACCAGCCTGGGCAACAGAGTGAGACCTCATCTCTACAAAAAATATTTAAAATTCTTTTTTTGTTTTTTTTTGAGTTGGAGTCTCACTCTGTTGCCCAGGCTGGAGTGCAATGACATGCTCACAACCAGCGCAACCTCAACCTGCTGGACTCAGGTGATCCTTCTGCCTCAGCCTTCCAAGTAGCTGGAACTACAGGCACGTGCCACCATGCCTGGGTAATTTTTTGATTTATTGTAGAAGTGAGGTCTCGCCAAGTTGCCCAGGCTGGTCTCGAACCTGTGAGCTCAGACAATCTTCTCACCTCAGCCTTCCAAAGTACTGGGATTATAGGCATGAGCCGTTGTGCTTGGCCTTAATTTTTTTTTGTTTAATGTTAGAGATGAGGTCTTGCTATGTTGCCCAGGCTTGTCTCAAACTCCTAGTCTCAAGTGATCCTCTTATCTTGGCCTCCCAAAGTGCTGGAATTACAGGCATGAGCCACCAGACCTGACTGACTCTACAAAAAATAAAGTTATCTGGGCATGGTGGTGCATGCCTGTAGTCCCAGTCATTCAGGAGGCTGAGATGTGAGGATCACTTGAGTCCAGGAAGTCAAACCTATAGTGAGCCAGGATTGCGCCACTATACTCCAGCTGGGCAACAGTGAGATCCTATCTCAAAAAAACCCCAAAAAACCAAAAACCAAAAAACCCCTTTAAGGTTTTAAAATATTCTTATATAATTATTATAAAAGGATTGAAAGAGCTAAAAAAGGAGAAACCTAGATGATTCATGATCATGCTGTCTCGGTGTGATGTCCTTGAAATAACTGTCTATTTACAAACTCACATTTCCTTTCCATTCACTGTCGAACTCACCCCACAATTTTCACCCCCACCACTCTTCCAGAATTGTTTTTCCCAGGGTCATTACCAATTCTTAATAAATCCAGACATAAATTTCTTTCTTTTTTCTTTAGAGAACAGGATTTGTTGAGAGGACAGTGGAAGGGGGACCTGAGGAGGCTGCCCCATAAATTTCTTAAACCTCATTTTATTTAACCTATCAGCAATATTTGACCCACTGGAGAACCCTCTCCTCTATAACACTTTCTTCACTTGACTTTCACAATGTCACTCACTCACCTGGTTTATCTTCCTGCCTTTCTAGCCTTGCTATCCACCTTAGTCTGTTTTGCCTGCTTCTCCTGTTTCCACCTTTTACACATTGACGTGTCCCAGGGCTCAGTCCTTGGCCTTCTTTCTCATGACTTTTACTACCTTGCATGTGCTAATGATTTTCACATTTACGTCTTCAGCCCAGATCTCTCTTCTTCATTCCAGGCCTCTATATCAAATTACCTACGTGTTTTTTCTCTTTGGTAGGCTATTCGGTAACACAAACTCGGCAGGCCCAGAATGGAACTATTGATGTTCCTTCTCATACCTACCCTTCATGTAGTTTTTCCTACTTGCATCAAAGGCAACTTTTCTAATTGCTCTGCCGAAAACCTTGGTGTCGTCCTTGACATATCTCTCTCTCTGATATCTCACATCTAATCTGTCAGCAAATCTTGTTTGGTCTACTGTCAAAATGTATCCAAAAGCCAGTCACATCTTCCATGTCCAAGCTACCAGCACCTGCTAACTAGATGAGTGTAACAGACTGCTAGTTTGTCTTCTTGTTTCCTTCTTGTTTTTCATCCTCTTTCCATCAATTCTGAACACAGTGGACCTATTAAAGTATAAGTCAGATTATGTCATTCCTCTGCTCAAAACCTTCTAATTGCCCCCCCCACTTTACTTATTACATATGCCAGAGTTCTTCCTAATACCTAAAGACAGCACATAATCTGAACTTTTATTTCTCTATCTTAAACTTACATTTTTTCCTCCCTTTTGCTCTACTCCAGCCACACTTGCTGTACCTTAAACATTTCAGGCTTACCTCTGTGCATGGGTGTTCACTCTGTCTAGTAGGCTTTTCCTTGGGATATTCTCTTGGCTTCTCCCTTTCTTCAGTTCTTTACTTAAAAGCCACTTTCTCAGCAAGTCTTTTTCTGCCCACCTTAATTTTTTCACCACTCTCTCCTCCCACACACAAAAACTTCATTTTCCTGCTTTAGTTTTCCTCCTCTAACATATACATTTTGCCTCTATATTCTGTTTATTGTTATTGTGTGTTTACTTCACTCTAGTCAGTAGGGTTGTTGTCCATTCACTGCCATATCCTCATTGCCTAGTAAAGAGCCTAGCATATAGTAATTAGCTGCTCAATAGGTATTTGTTAAATTAGTGAATTGGGCTTATCCTGGGTGTATTATTTTAAACATTAGACTAATTCTTACTTAAAAAACAGTTTGACATGGGTTCATTGTGACAATTTTACCTGGCTGCTGTATGCATTTTAAAAATTGCTTTTGGCTCTTTCTAATAAGCTGTATTCCCTATATTAATACTTTTCCTTGTAGGGAGAAAAATCCAATATTTTGATTATTCACTTTTTATTTTTTTACTGGCAGTGATAGTTTTAATTATGATAAAATGGATCAAAGGAATTTCAAACTTATTTGTATTTTTTATTAAGAAATTGAAATATAAAGGTGGTAAATTTAGTGGACTAAAACAATTCTTTCCAAAGGATTATGTATGACCTTTCGGTATCTGAAATAAAAACACAAAGTTGGAAGACACTGCTTTCTATAGTAAGAAAGCTATGCTGGTTAGGCACAATCTCTTCTGGGCTTTGGGAAGAGTGACCTTAGGTGGTTCTTGCCTATAATCCCAGGACTTTGGGAGGCGGAGGCAGGAGGATCACTTCAGCACAGGAGTTTGAGACCAGCGTGGGCAACATAGCGAGATCTCACCTCTACAAAAATTCACAAACTTAGCTGGGTGTGGTGGCACATGCCTGCAGTCCCAGCTATTCAGGAGTCTGAGGCTGGAGGATTGCTTAAGCCCAGGAGTTTGAAGGTGCAGTGAATTGTGATTGTGCCACTGTGTACTCCAGCTTGGACGACAGAGTGAGACTCTGACTCAAAATAAAAAAATAAACAAAAAACAAAAGAGTGGCCTTGAAGGATTGACTGACTTTCAGAGGCATAAGTGGGTTTACATAATCTGTAGCAGCATGTTTATCTGATTAAGAGTGTTATGGATTGGTTGGCACTCCTAGGTATGCTGATTGGAGTGAGCTTGTTGGCTGCCTTTCAGAAGCAAGCGGCTGACATTGGTTGGTAATTGAGGCCTGTGGCCATTGACTGATTGACTAGATTTAAAATTGGTTCATGGCTACTTGTTACCATGGCTACAGGTCAGTCCTTTCTTAACTTTGAGGCCACTTTAACCAGATGCTTTCTGTTTAAAAGCTGTCTTCCATCAACTGTGTTCAAAATGAAAACTATTTTGTATTCCAGAATTGTAGACTTATTTTGGAAGTTTGGGTCAAGAGGAATTGTTTAATAATTGCTTTTAGGAAGATCTCTCTTGCTTTAGATGCTTAGTCTTAATCAGAAGAGTTATCTGCATCTTTTTTTTGGTAAATAATTGTTAGTTTTGTCTGTTTTTCTATATTTTGGGGGGCTCATGTTCAACTCATAATAATCTTCAGTGGGAAACTTCATTCTTTTTGTGAGTTTATGTAGGTATATGATGGTGATTTTCTTATGCATGTATTTACTCCATAAAAAAGTAATTACAATTTTCTGCTGGAAAATTCAACTTTTTATATTAGGATTAAATACTAGGCTAAAAGCATATAAAAGTTATCAAATTATTTTATTTTCATACAAAATTATAACTAATCAGAATATTGCTGCTTTAGAATTTTATATAATTACATATAGGAATTTTAAAAGTAAGATTTCCCCCAATAATTTTTCACAGTTTCTTTCATGTTCTGTGTACCTCATGCTATTTCAAAAACTTCACTTAAATTAAACATTATAATATTTAAAAAACAAAACTGAACATCTTATTGCCACCATGTCTAAGGTATGGCTTATAGGGAGTGAGCTCCACCCTTCTAGTGTAGCAATCATCTCTTATTTGTTTCCATGTATTTTATACGTTTCAAGTTTCTAGGAAACACCTAGATGCCATGTACCTATCTTTGTGCTCGCATTCTATTTTCTAAGTAGAATGGTGAACTTCTCTTACGTTTTGTTTTTTATGTAAAACCTTTCTTGTACTCAGATATAACTTCCTATATATCAACTCTTACAAATCACTTTTTATCATAATTATATATTTACCTGTATTTTTCAAGCAGGGAATACGTATTTTCTTGTATGTTCTTGGTACTTCCTAGCCGTTTTTTGAATTAATGAATGGAGATGGGAAAGTGTTGGAATTTTACAAAAATTGTTTAAAAAAATTATTTGCCAGTGGAATTATCACAAAATGTTGCCTTCTTTTTGTGGATTTTTTAAATGTAGTGGTTCTGCCTTGCATATGAAGGAAGTAAAGAAAAATGACAACGAAAAATGGACCTCAAAAGAATCTAGGATTACATCAGTGTTTGAAAAGGCCACTTTACTAACTGGTAGTCTACAAGTGGATGATGACAGCAGTTTAAATGAAATAGATGAACCTGAAGGAAGGTAAATCTTTATGTTCTTTGTTTCCCTGTGAAGGAATGTTAGCAGTAATTTTTTTTTCTGGAAATAGAATAACTTAGTCTTCTAAAGCTAGAGAATACTCAGCTGTATCAATGCTGGTGAATGATGTATTAACATGAGGACAAGTGACTTTGACAAGGAGCAGTTTTAGTAACTGGTCACCATGGAACCCTGACTGTAATGGATAAGTGTAGATAACTCTTCAGAGAACCTTTACAAGGAAGGGCAATCTAGAAGTGGGTGTTAAGTGAAGAAGAATGTGGGATTCAAGGGAGTTTTCTTTCGTTTTTCACTTTTCATCTTATTTTTTTATAAAGATGGGGGTCACGCTTTGTTGTCCAGGCTGGTCTCAAACTCCTGCCTTTAAATGGTCCTCTAGCCCTAGCCTCTCAAAATGCTGGGGTTAACGGACATGAGTCACTACACTCAGCCTCATTTTTTGTTTTTAAAATAGAAGCTTTCGGAATGTGTTTGTATGCTGTTGGCAGTGATTCAGTGGAGAAGAACATGTTTATGAAATTTGATTTTGAGTATGGGCATGGTGGCTCATAGCTGTAATGCCAGCACTTTGGGAGGCTGAGACAGGAGGATTGCTTGAGACTAGGAGCATGAAACCAACCTGGGCAACCTAGCAAGACACTGTCTCTACAAAAAAATTTTAAAAATTTCGAGACCCACCTGGGCAACTTGGTGAGACCTCATCTCTACAGTAAATCAAAAAATTAGCCGGACATGGTAGCGCGCGCCTGTAGTTCCAGCTACTTGGAAGGCTGAGGCGGAAGGATCGCTGGAGCCCAGCAGGTCGAGGCTGCGGTGGCCGGGAGCGGCCACTGCACTCCAGTCTGGGTGACAGAGTAAGACTCCAAATCAAAAAAAAAAAAAAAATTAACCAGCTGTGATGGCATGCACCTGTAGTCCCAGCTGCTCAAGAGGCTGAGTTGGGAGAATTGCTTAAACCCAGGAGTTTGAGGCTGCAGCGAATTATGATCTCAACACTGCACTTCAGCCTGGGAGGACCCTGCCCAAGTAAATAAACAAACAAATAAATAAAATTTCCATGTCTAACCATTAGAAAGCTTGATGTGTTATATTTTAAAGATTTATTGTAAACAATTGTCCTTAGAACTTCTATCCAAGTATAGTTTTATGGTAAGAGATTGTTCCTTCAGGATTGATTCAGAAATGGAATATTCTAATGTAATTTAATCTAAAAATTATGACCAAAAAGTTAAACTGTTATACATAAATTTTAAAAATCATATAATAATAAAATACTTAAGCCATAGTACATAGAATTTGAAAATTCCTTAATAATTGTGTATATTACAGTGCCTTTGCCAGTAGCATAATGAATAGCTATGATTTGGTAAGGCACTCTATAATATCAGGTGTATCAACATTATAGTTGTTTAGATTTTTGGGAGAGGGAAGAATTTTTCTTATGTACAATAGATAAGCAAACTGTCAACGGTCTATTTGGGATTATTACTTTTGGATTATAAAGTTCTAAAGAATAAAAACCATGTGTCCTTTTACCAGTGGTGTCATTGACATGCACTGTGTGCTCAATAAGTATTTGTTGAATGCGTGAATAAACAGCTAAATAGAAGAATCAATGCCTGTTGATGAATTTTTTTTCGGAAAAATAAAATAGTTTACTGAAAGCAGGTTTCCAAAATTGGCTTGGTATAGTCTTTTTATTTAAAAAAAATTTGCAAGATTCAGAAATTATTATTTATAGTTATGGCCAGAAATCAAATGATAATATGGATTCATCTGCTATCATATAACTTGAAAAACACTTGAAAATAAATATTATATAGCATAGCAAAACACATATTTTAGTGTCAGATTTCTTGGGTTTCAATGCTGGATTCGCCACTGGCCAGCTGTATGGGCTTGGGCAAGTTACTTGGCCTTTCTGTGCTTAGTTTTTTCCTTTATAAAAACCTGATACGTTACCTATCTCACAGAATTGTGAGAATTAAAATGAGTTTAATACATTACAGTGCTTAGAATAATGCATAGTAACTACAAGGGAGGGATCAAAATAAAAAACAAAAACAACCTGGAATTATCTTTTGGAGGGCAGGCCCCTTGTAGTGCAGGCTTCCCCTGCTGGGGAAGTGTTCTAGGGACCTATCGGCATCAGTGTACCAGCTAGCATTGTTGTGAGAGGCTGCCTTCAGCGTCATTGAATTTTTTTTTTTTTGGAGATTCTTTCAGTGCATTTTCCCATTTCCTAATGAGTGATTTATGAGTGCACCTGCCTACACCACACTGTGTTTAGCAGTTTTTAGCCAAAACAGCATGACCACTGTTCCCCACCCTCACTATTCATCTGATCTCATCCCAAGTGACTATTTTTTTGTTTCCCTTAATGAAAATCCTCAAAGGGAAACATTTTGCCAATGTAATGGAGATGAAACAAAAAATGGCAGAAGCACTAAAAGGCATAGAAATTGATGAGTTAAAAAACTGTTTTGAGCCTTGGAAAAGTTGTCTCCATAGGTGTATTACATCAAACAGAGAATACTTTGAAGGTGACTGAAGTTTAAATATGTAAGAATAGACAATTTTTAATAAATAAATTTCAGGTTTTTTGGGGTCCCCCCTCATATAAGAAGCTAACTAATGTCATCACTAAAAATGGGTTTACCTCATATAAGGATATAAGCAATATATTCCAAATAGGTTTTAGTGCCAGTAAAAAGACAATAACAAAAAAACTCCTGGTATGTTTCTTTCTATCAAATAATGCAAGTAATGTTATGTTTTTCCTTTTGCTTTTACTTTCAGATCACTTGATCTAAATTTAATTCTTTGTTAAAGATATTATCAGTAGTAAATTTTTTGTCCCTTAATGTTGCTCTTTCTGTTTATACTTTAATCCCCTTGTAGAAAATTATTGTATTTTACATTACCTGTAAAAAAGAATTATCTATATACTTTATAATAGGTAAGTAAATTAGCAATGCAGAGATCTTATATAAAGAAATAGTTTTAGATATTCTTTGTATTTTATATATTTGCTATTTGCCTGAATGGAGTTTCTTTACTTTAAAGGCCTCCAAAGAAAACATCTGATGAAAATAACGAGGTATTGTAAAAAAAAATTTATTAAAATTATTACTGTTTGAAAAATGCATTATAAGAGATAAAGTGAAAAAATAGAGTGTCTTGTTATAAAACATTTCCTTTGAAAAAGTGGTTAAGAAACAGTAACCATTGATAAAGTTTTCCTTTTGATGAAAATCAGGTCTATTAAGAAGTAGCTGTCTTTTTGATCAGATAAAAAGATGGATATATGTACAATTAGTATATGCTGTAAATGTTTCAAGGACATTTCAAAACAGTGTTACTTATTTTGTAGGAAAAAAACCAAAAATATTCTATGGATGACTTTGATGATTTAACTCAGTCATCTGAAACAGCCTCAGAGGATTGTGAATTGCCTTCCTCTAATTATAAGAATTTGATGTTACTCATTGAACAACTTGGAACGGAGTATAAAGGTAGGACTATTTTATAAATTTAAGGCCTTTTTTCGTATCTTATAGTAATGTACGCACACATACATTAGCCCTGTACGGATATGTTATAGTGATGTTCATCTAAAAAATATGCTTTATGATAAATATAAGAACTATTGTGTATTATATACTCTCAGCCAAAGTGCTATGATGATCGCACTGTACTTTTCTCAGTGTGAATGGTATTCCCAGTCCTTTTGTTAACTCTGCTTCTCTTCTATGCTTTCACCCAAGGTCAGGTTATCAGTATCTCCCACCTGGAATACTACAATAACCTTAGAACTGTTTTTTCTGCTACTCTACCTCCTGAAACCATGGTCTACTCTTCAATCATAATTGTAAATTTCCAAGAATTCAAATCTTGCTTAAAACCCACTTTCACTGCTCATTGCTGTAAGGCTAAAGATCTCAGTCCTCTAGCTTTATCTTGCATCATTCTATGCCCACTTTTCTCTCTGTGACTTAGCCAGTGTCTTAGATGTTTGTTCCTGCAAGCAATAACTTTAGTGATGTATAGTTTATACAAGATAAACTGCACATATGTAACAATTTGATAAGCTTTGACATATGTGTACACACGTGAAGCCATCATCATAATCAAGATAGTTAACATATCTGTTACCCAGAAAGTCTCCTCAATCCTCTTGATAGTCCCTTATTCAGAAGCTGCTAAATTGTTTGTCTATGTATTTGTACCATTTTCTATTGCTGTCAGCAGTATATGACAGTTCCAGTAGCTCTGTGTTATAACTAACACTTAGTATTTCTGTTTTAAAACAATTTTTAAATATTTGACCTTTTTGATAGGTGTATATTATGCATATAATTGTGGCTTTAAGGTGTATTACCCTAATAACTAATAATGTTCACCATTCTTCCATGTGCTTATTTTCCATGTGTCTATTTATTTTCTTTGGTGAACTATCTTTTCAAATCTTTTGTCATTTAAAAAATTAGGTTGCTGCTTTCTTACTAAGTTTTAAGAGTTCTTTATATATTCTGGGTGCTATTTCTTTATTAACTATGTTTTTCACAAGGATTTTTTTCCCCCTAGATTGTGGCTTGACTTTTTTTTTTTTTTTTTTGAGTTGTAGTTTCACTCTGTTGCCCAGACTAGAGTGCAGTGGCACACTCATGGCTACTCCAGTGCCGACTTGCTGTGCTCCAGCGATCCTTCCACCTCAGCCTTCCAAGTAGCTGGAACTACAGGCACACACTACCATGCCTGGCTAATTTTTAATTGTTCTCTTAATAGTATCTTTTATAGAGCAGAAGTTTTTCATTTTGATGAAATTCCATTTGTCTGTTTATTCAATTATGGATTTGTTTTTTGTGTCACATCTAAAAAAAATTTGCCTAGCAAACAGGGTCATAAGGATTTTCTCTTATGCTTTCTTCTAGAAGTTTTACAGTTTTAGGTCTTACATTTAGATTTATGGTCCATTTTGAGTTCCTTTTTTATATCATGTGAGTTAAGGACTTGAGTTCATTTTTTGGATAAGGATAGCCAATTGTTCCAGTACTGTGAGTTGATGACCATTGTGCCTTTGTTAAAATTAAGTTGGCTGTGTATGTGTGGGTCTATTTCTGGACTCTCTCTTGTTTTCCATTGTTCTACAGTTGTTCCTCAGTAGAGTCATATTCTAGTAAGTTGAAAATCCATTTAATAACAGGTAAACCCATTGGTAAGTTGAACCATCTTGATTTGGGGACCATCTATATTTGACTTTCTTTGTATTCAGGTTGAGCATCCCTAATCTAAAAATCGAAACTGCTCCAAACTCTGAGACTTTTTGAGTGCCAACATGACAGTACAAGTGGAAAATTTAACACCTGACTTTATGTACAGACACTTCATTTTTTGCAGAAAATTATTGAGTGTTGTATAAAATTATCTTTAGGCTATGTGAATAAGGTGTATGTGAAACAGGTGAATTTCATGTTTAGACTTGGGTCCCATCTCCAAGACATCTTATTATGTGTGTGCAAACTTTCCCAAATTAGAAAAAATTCCAAAATATGATACACTTCGGTCCCAAACACTTTGAATAGGGGATAGTCAAGCTTTATCAGTATCACACTGTTTTGATTACTGTATATATATATATACAGTATATTATATATATATATATTAATCCTTGAAATCAGCCCTCCAGTTTTGTACTTTCTTCAGGGTTATTTTGACTGTTGTACATCCTTTGCATTTTCATATGAATTTTAGAATCAATTTGTTAATTTTTTTAAAAAGTTTGCTGGCCTGCTGGGAATTAGATTGAGATTGTGTTGAATCTGTAGATTAATCCAAGGAGTTGGCACCTTTTTTTTTTTTTTTTGAGTTGGAGTCTCACTCTGTCGACCAGACTGGAGCGCAGTGGCCGCTCCCGGCCACCGCAGCCTCGACCTGCTGGGCTCTGGCAATCCTTCCGCCTCAGCCTTCCAAGTAGCCGGAATTACAGGCATGCGCTACCACGCCCGGCTGATTTTTTTTAAAATTTATTGTAGAGATGAGGTCTCGCTGCCCAGGCAGGTCTTGAACCCACGGGCTCAGGCAGTCCACTCACCTCAGCCTCCCAAAGGCACGGGATTACAGGCTGAGCCACCGAGCCCGGCTTTTGGCATCTTAACAATAATGAATCTTTTCATTCTTGGACAAAGTGTATGTCTTCATTTATATGGGTTGTATTTAATTTTCTCACTAATATTTTATATTTTTAGTGTTTAAGTCCTTCCAAATTTTATCATATTTATATGTATTTTATTTTTTGATGAAGTTGTAGGTTATATTCTTTAAAATTTTAATTTGATTATTTATAGCTAGTATATAGAAATACAATTGATTTTTGTACATTGATTTTATATCCTCTAACCTTGCTAAACTCACTTATTAGTTCTAGTAGCATTTTTTGGTAGATTCAATCAGATTTTCTGCATAGACCAAAGCTGTCAAACTTTTTCTTTCTCAAACTACTGCCTTACTACAGAATAAATATTTTAGACTTATGGCAAAACTGTCTCTGTTGCAGTTAGCACCTCTGCCATTGTAGCATGAGAACAGCATAAACAATACATACATTAATTCTGGTGTTCTAGTAAAACATTATTTATAGAAATAAGAAGTTATCCCACGAATTGGAGTTCACCCAACCCTATTTTGTGATCATGGTTGTGAATAAAGACAGCTTTGCTTCTTCCTTTCAGCCTGGATGCCTTTTATTTCCTTTTCTTGCCTGACTGCATTGGCTAGAATCTTTAGTATGATGCTGAATAAAAGTTGTGAAAGCAGATATTCCTGTGTTGTTTCTGATCTTATGGGGAAAGCTTTTGGTTTTTATTATAATGCTAGCTGTAGGTTTATCGTATACTGTTTATCATGCTGAAGATATTCCCTTGTATTCTTTTTGCTGAGAGTTTCTTTTTTTTTAGTCAGGAATGTTGAATTTTATCAAATGCCTCTCTCTACTGAGATGATTATATGATTCTTCTTTTTTAGATTGTTAATGTGGTGAGTAACAGTAAGTTTTGAATGTTAAACCAACCTTGTATTCCTGGGATAAACCCCATTTGCTTATGATACATTATTCTTTTAATATATTATTAGATTTGATTTGCTAAAGTTTTGTTTATCATTTTTTAAGGACTTTTTTTTTTTTTAGAACAGTTTTAGGTTCACAGCAGAATTGGGAGGAAGGTATAGAGATTACCCATGCACCCCACACCCCCATACAAGCCTAGTCTTCCTTATTATCAGTATCCTTCACCAGAGTGGCACATTTGTTACAACCTATCATAGTTTACACATCATAGTCATCCAAAGTTCATAGTTTACATTGGTATTGTACATTCTATGGGTTTGGACAAAGGTATAATGACATTTATCCATCATTATAGTGTCATACAAAGTGTTTTCACTGCCTTAAAAATTCTGTGCTCTGCCTATTTATCCTTTCCTCTCCTCCTCAACCTGTGGCAATCTCTGATTTTTTTTTTTTTTTTACTGCATCCATAGTTTTGCCTCTTTCAGAATGTCATATAGTTGGGATCATACAAAATAGAGCCTCTTCAGATTTGCTTCTTCCACTTGGCAATATGCATTTAAGGGTCCCTCACGTCTTTTCATGGCTTGATAGGTCATTTCTTTTTAGCCCTGAATAGTATTTCATTGTATTCCTGTGCCACAGCTTATTTATTCATTCAACTATTGGAGGATAGGTTGGTTGCTTCAAAAGTTGGTTAAATTTTTACATCTATGTTCATGCGAGAGTTTTTTTGTTGTTGTTGTAATGTCACTGTCTGGTTTTGGTTCAGGGAAGTGTTAGCATTATAGAATGAGTCGGGATATATACCTTCTCTTTATTTTTGGGGGAGAGTTTGTGTAGAATTATATTATTCCTATAATGTTTGGTAGAATTTATCAGTGTAGCTATCTGGGACTGGAGTTTTTTTGGCAGGAAGGTTTTTAATATGATTTTATTTTATTTTATTTTATTTTGAGTTGGAGTCTTACTCTGTCACCCAGACTGGAGTGCAGTGGCCGCTCCCGGCCACCGCAGCCTCGACCTGCTGGGCTCCGGCGATCCTTCCGCCTCAGCCTTCTGAGTAGCCGTAATTACAGGCGCGCCTACCACACCCAGCTAATTTTTTGATTTATTGTAGAGATGAGGTCTCACCTGCCCAGGCGGGTCTTGAACCCTTGGGCTCAGGCAATCCACTCACCTCAGCCTCCCAAAGGCGCGGAATTACAGGCTGAGCCACCAAGCCTGGCTGATTTTATTTTATTTTATAGATATAAGGTGCGATTCAGGTTATCTATTCTTTCTTGACTGAAGTTTGGTAATTTTCATTTTTTAAAGTATTTGTCCATTTTATCTTAGTTGTCATGTTTATTCACATAAAGTTCATAATATTGCCTTATTATTCTTTTAGTATCTGTAGAATCTGTAATATTGTCACTGTACTCATTTCTTTTATTAATAATATGTATCTTTTTCCTGGTCAGCCTGACCAGGTAGAGGTTTAACACTTTTATGGATCTCCTCAAAGTGTTTGGTTTTATTGATTTTCCCTATTGTTTTTCTGTTTTATTGGTTTAATCTTTAATATCATAGTCCAATTGGTCTGCTATAACAAAATACCACCGACTGGGCAGCTTATAAACAACAGAAATTGATTTCTCACAGTTATGGGGCCTGTGAAGTCCAAGATCAATTCAGGCAAATTTGGTTTCTGATGAAGGACCAATTCCTGTTTCGTAAATACCTTCTTTTTCAATGTGTCTTTACATGGCAGAAGGGGTGAATTAACTCTCTGAAGTCTCCTGCACTAATCCCATTCATAAGGGTTTGGCCTCCATGACATATCACCCCCAAAAGCCCCACCTCCTAGTACCATCATCTCTGATTAAGTTTCAACCAATAATTTTGGGGGAGAGGACACAAACATTCAGACTATAGCAGATGTTTATTATTTTCTTTCCTCTGCTTTCTTTGGGTTTAATTTGCTCTTCTTTTTTGTAGTTTCTTAAGGTAGAAGTCAAGGTTATTATTAATTTCAGACTCTTCTAATAGAGACATTCAGCGATAAAATTCTGATATGTTGTATTTTCATTTTCATTCAGTTCACAATACTTTCTAATTTCTCTTTTCATAACTTCTTTGACCCAAATTTATTTGGATGTGTTTTATTTAGCTTCCAAATATTTGAGTACTTTTCTAGAGAAATTTTTGTTACAGATTTCTGATTTGATTTCTTTGTGGTCAGGGAACGTACTTTATATATCACAAATCCTTTTGACTTCATTTTATTAAGACTTATTATATGGTCTAGAATATTTCCTGTTTTGATAAGTGCTTCATGGGTACTTGAGAATGGTATTGTTATCATCTACACTGTTTTTGCTGATTTTCTGTCGTCTTGTTCTGTCACATGAGTAAGGGGTATTGAAGTCTTATACTTTACTTGTGAATTTGTTTATTTCTTTTTGCAGTTCTATCAATTTTTTCCTCATGTATTTTCAAACTTATGTTATTAGATATCTAAACATTTACTATTGTTATGTCTCCTTGATTAATTGAACCTTGTATCATTGTGAAATGACCTTGTTTATTGTTGGTAATATTTTTTGCTATGAAATCTACTTTGGTATTAATATAGCCACTCCTGTTCAGCCTTCTTTTGCCAGGTGTTGATATGACATATCTTTTTCTATCCTTTTAACCAATTTGTGGCTTTACATTTAAAGTGCACTTCTTATAGGTAGCATAGTATAGTTGGATCTTGCTTTTTTTTATCCAGTCTGACAATCTGCCTTTTAATTAAGGTTTTCAGATATTTCATTTATAATGTGATTATTGACATAGTTAGGTTTGGTCGTCATCATGCTGTTTGCTTCTGTTAGTCCCAGCTGTTCTTAGTTGCTCTTTTCTTTTTTTTTTTTAATGCTTTCTTTTAGATTAGTTAGGTAACTTTTCTGATTTAGTTTTATTTATTTATTTTTTGCTTATTAGCTATACCTCTCCATTTTATTATCTTAGTGGCTGCTTTAGTATTTTTTAGTATATGATTTTAACTTACCACAGTTCATCTTCAAGTAACAGTATCATATATGGTCTAAGAAAATTGCAATAGTATGCTTTCATTTCTTCTCTCCCAACCAGATCCTTTCTGGATCTGTGGGATTATAGTTTTCATTAAGTTTAGGAAGTTTTTGGCCATTTTTTTCTTCAAAATTTTTTTCTAGTCCTTCTTTGGGAACTTATATATTAGCGGTATGAAGTTGAAATGTGTAGTCTGTTTTATGCAAAAAGAGCTCATATATTTTATCTTGTTTTCTTTCTGATACAGACTCTGTTAGTCTATTGAAAATCCAGGATGCAGTTCTTTCATGTGAAAGATTAATAGAACTTAAAAAAAATCACTGTGAACTACTCACAGTAAAACTTAAAAAAATGGAAAATAAGGTTAGTGTATTACAAAAGGAACTATCTGAAACAAAAGAAATAAAATCACAATTAGAGCACCAAAAAGTTGAATGGGAACGAGAACACTGCACTTTGAGGTATGATATCCTAGTTTTAAAGAAATGTTTGAACTATTTGCTTTATAATAAAGATAGGTAGATGAATTTTTGTAATTGCTGAATTGTGGGGTTTGACAGGATAAAACTTCTTAGTCTTGTGGAATATGAAATTCTTGGAAATAATATAACAAGTTTTTAACTATGAATACTTCTACAAATAATTAAATACTTTTTAAAAAAGTAATAATTTTAATGGCTATATAGAAGTCACCACATGGAAATCTATTTATTTAACAAATGAATTTTGGGTTTTAAAATCTTTTGTAATTATAATTAATGCTGGAAGAAACATATTTTATATAAATCTTTTCCTACATTTCTGTTTACTTTGAATAAGTTCTTCAACATAGAATTATTTGATTAAAGTATGGGACGTTTTTAAAAAGGTCTTTGATCAATATTTCTAAACTGTTCTCAAGAAAGGTTATGTTGATTTACAGTTCAATCAACAGAGTATGAAATGACCATTTTTTAACCCAGAATACAAAGTAAAATAGAAAATGATTATTGATTAGTGTATTCAACATCTCTCTTTTATACACAGATAAAATTAAAGTTCTGTGTTGAAAACACATATTCTATATTGTTTAATTAAATATTGGAGCCTGTCTTATTCCAAAAGGGATTTTTAAATTGTTTATTAAAAACATAATAAAATATGTTGAAATTGTTAGCCCAAAAAAAACCAAACAAACAACTAATAAAAAGTGTGGCGTAACAGATAGTAGACCCCTTAACATAGTCTTGGATTCTAGTAGGTATGTGTTGTATGAAAGACATCTTAAGGTGCTATTTTATACGTAAATCATTTTTAAGGATACTTTCAGTATTTCATAAAGATGAAGATTTATTTCTAATGAATTTGTAAACTTGTTTATGAACAGAAACTTCTTTTAAACTGGTGAACTTTAAAAGATCTGTCCTGCTTGAGGAGTAATTATTACTGTGTGGGAAAAAAGGTAATTTTCAAGTTGTAACTTTACTGAATCATTTCCAGTATCCTTTTCTATAATATTTACCAGAGGTACTAGTAACAGAAACTTATTAATTAGCAGAATGTTCTTTCATCCTTACCTGTCAAACATATATGTTCTTTGGAAGAGATTGAAGTGAGAAATGAAAAACCTGAGAACTAGAAAGGAAAAATATTCAAGAATATAAAAATTTTATTAGGCTAATAAACCAAAGTATAAAGAGGCCGATCACAAAATGGACTTTTTATTTTCTAACAAAACAAATTTTAAGTAATCATATTTAATTGCAGATTTGCCTTAAAGCAAGAAGAAGAGAAGAGAAGAAATGCTGATATGTTATATGAAAAAATTAGGGAGCAGTTAAGAAGAAAAGAAGAACAGTTTGGGAAAGAGATTGAAATCAAGCAGCAGCTTGAACTGAATCTCAGATCACTAGATATGGAGTTGAGGACTGTAAGAAGTAATTTGAATCAGGTAAATTCATTTTTGGTAAAAATTTCATATTGTGAACTTTATTTCATCAGTATTACTTACAATATTCCTTTGATTTAATATATGTTATTTAGGTTTAAAACAAATCAAAAATATTATCTTAAACTGACCTATGCCATATATAGCTAACACTGCTTATTATAAATCTTGACATCTAATAGGTGCTCAATATGTTTTCTGAATGAAGGAATAGAGGATAAGTCGAGTTTAATCAGTAACGGGCATTTTTGTTCTAAAATGCAGTCTAAAAATCTTTACAATTATAATGAAACCAGTTAAATGTTTTGCAAATAAATTTTATTTGCCTGGGCTTGGTGTCTCATGCCTGTAATCCCAGCACTTTGGGAGGCCGAGGTGGGCGGATCGCTTGAGCCCAGGAGTTCTAGACCAGCCTGGGCAACATAGCGAAACTCTGTCTCTACAAAAAATAAAAAAAAAATTAGCTCAGTGTGTTGGTTTATGCCTGTAGTTTCAGCTACTCGGGAGGCTAACAAGGGAGGATTGCTTGAGCTCAGGAGTTTGAGGCTATGGTGAGCCTTGATCATGCCACTGTACTCCAGTCTAGACAACAGAGCAAGACACTGACTGAAAAAAAACCCAAAAAACAAAAAAAAACCCAACATCAACAAGAAATTTTATTTCACAATACTATATATGCTTGTATTTAAGAACTGTTTTTACTCTTCGATGGATTTAGTTATCATTTACGCAGTTAAAATTTAAGTATTTCTTGAGGGATAAAGGTACTTGGGTTTTAATAGACTACTTCTTTTTAATGCTTTTTAAAAAAAGGTTCTACTCTTAATTAAACTTTCAGACTTTTTTTCCAATGCTTTTAGACCAAAACTTAATGTATCTCTAGGTTGTACAAGAGCGAAATGACACTCAGAGGCAACTTTCTCGAGAACAGAATGCCAGAATGTTACAAGATGGGATTCTGACCAATCACCTTTCTAAACAAAAAGAGATAGAAATGACTCAAAAAAAAGAGGTATTTTCTTTAGTCATTTTCAAATATATGTGTGTATGTGTTTGTATATGTTTATACTACAGACCCAACTATATGCCTCTTTAAAAGTATTGAGGATTCATTACGTGGATCAGCCATGAGATCCTCATGCTCCAGCCAGCCTCTGCTCCACAGATTCATGGGCTGTGTTTCAAGAATTGGGGAACTAGAGTCCTCGCCCCAGGCTTTTTGTATTAGGTATTATTTTTAGTAATTCAATCCTGTTCAAGTTGAATTCTTTTAAGTTGTTTTATTCTCCTTTCCCTACTATTTTTGTACATATTTTTACTCTGAGTAATGATATCTTGGTATCTCTAAGCTGATTTGTTAGAATCAGAACTACTGAAAAGTACCTGCTTTCAATAAATTCTTGTTTTGTTTGGTAACAAATAAAATAAAAGTACTGAGGATTTTTGGGGCAACCCCCTTGGGTCCTCTCCTGATCTGGGAGCTTTTCTGTCCTCTCAATAAATCCTGTTTTTTCAATTAAAAAAAAAGTATTGAGGATTTTTAAACCCATATATGTATGTATATATTTAGGGGAGGTGGTGGTGGTGGCATTTTTGGCCCACTGGATAAAGTAATATTCTTAATTCAACTCCATTTGTCTGCAGTGGTCAAGTAATGGTGTTCACAATGGCTTCATCCAAAGGAGAGGCTTTATAATATTTTCCATAGGTATTGATGATCTATCCATAATCTCAAATTCCTTGCTACTAATAGTAAGTGTTTTAGTTTTTGGAAGGGATTTAATCCTCTTGATATATTAATGGAGAGGTTAGTTTATTGCTTCTACAGACAGGTAAGGAGGACAAGTATAACCAGTTCAGTGGCCATGTCTCATTCTCCTCACTTCTGAGAAGAAAAACATCTCCAAGTGGTATCTCAATTTCAGGACAAAGAGCTTTTGAAAACAATGACATGCCATAATATATTTTAGTGATAACTTATTCATAAATGTTTTGTTCCTAGTAAAATACTTCAGTGTATTTGCCCCTATTTCACATTTTTTACTGTTTAAAACATTACAAAGAGGAAACAAAAATTATTGCAGGCAACAGATAATCTCATGATTTTCTAAAAGAGTTCTATAAATTTTATTTATCACTAGTGTTTTGAAATAAAAAGTTTCTTTTATTTTTGTATATTTTCACCACAGAAGTAACTATGATTTGGTGAAGGAGTACTAGAAATGGAGTCAGAATATGAGAAAATCCTGCAACTTGCTTATATTTTTAACCTGTCCTTTTCAGAACTGTGATACTAAATGAGTTCAGTGATATATGTAGAAGTGCTTAGTACAATGCCTAGATTTATCACTCACCAATAAATGTAATTCTTAGCACTGACTATTAGAATGTTAGAAGAGCCGAATATCTATAGAATATTCTCAGGAAAAAGGAATTTAAAGAAGTTTGGGCAAGTTCATCTGTCCCAATATATTCAGAATTTAGACTCTTCCTGTGGGTGGCACATAGGTTAGATATCAGAGTCTAAACCCTGTGTTTTTAATGTAGTCAAATGTATTAATCTTTTATTTTATGCCTTTTAGCTTGTAATTCAAGGAGAGGCTTTCCCAATCCTGAGATTCTTCTTGAAAATTCTTTAGTGGTTTCTTTTTTACTTTCATAGATTCATTGTCTTCAAATAAATTTTTGAACTTCTGGGAATTTATGCTCTGTAAAGTTTGAGTTTTTGATCTAAGTTTTCTTTCCAGTTGGATATCCATTTGTGTCAACCCCTTCATTGTATAAATGCACAGGGTATTCTTTAATTTTAGAGGAAATAACATGTTATTTGATTGAGTGCTGGCTAAAAGTTTTCTTTGTTTTACTTAGGATTCTCATAGTCATGAGGAAGATAAAGATCTGCTGCAAAAAAATCACATGTTGCAGGATGAAATTGCCATGCTAAGACTGGAAATAGACACAATAAAATCTCAGAACCAGGAAAAGGAAAAGAAATATTTTGAGGACATTGAAATTGTCAAAGAAAAGAATGATGACCTTCAAAAGACTATAAAACTGAATGAGGAAACAGTAACGAAAACAGTATTCCAGTATGATGGACAGCTTAGTGCTCTGACAGCTAAGAATACAATGCTCAATTCTAAACTGGAGAATGAAAAACAAAACAAGGAGAGACTGGAAGCAGAAATTGAATCATACCGTTCCAGACTGACTGTGGCTATACAGGATCGTGATCAAAGTGAGACATCAAAAAGAGACCTAGATCTTGCTTTCCAGAGAGCACGAGATGAATGGTTTCGTTTACAGGACAAAATGAATTTTGATTTGTCTAACCTAAAAGATAACAATGAAGTACTTTCTCAACAACTTTCTAAAGCTGAAAGTAAATTCAATAGCCTAGAAATTGAGCTCCATCACACACGAGATGCTCTCAGAGAAAAGACTTTGGTTTTAGAACGCGTACAAAGAGATCTTAGCCAAACACAGTGTCAGATGAAGGAAATTGAGCAAAAGTATCAAAATGAACAGGGTAAAGTGAATAAATACATTGGAAAGCAGGAATCTGTAGAGGAGAGGTTATCTCAACTGCAAAGTGAAAATATGTTGCTTCGACAGCAATTGGATGATGCGCACAACAAAGCTGATACTAAAGAAAGGACAGTCACTGATATTCAAGACCAGTTTCATGCTATTGTACAGAGACTTCAAGCTGAGAGTGAAAAGCACAGTCTTCTGCTGGAAGACAGAAATAAGGAGTTGATCAGTGAATGTAATCACTTAAAAGAAAGGCAGTATCAGTATGAAAATGAGAAAGCAGAAAGAGAGGTAAGTATCAAGAAAGATATTTTCCAATCTTCCCGAAAGGCATTGTAAAGTAATATTTGGTTATGACTAAATGTTGAGTGTAATTTAATATAAAAATTAATAGGCAGTAAATGTATTTATTATACCAACTTAGAAACATACCTTGTTTTCAGCAAATAAAAGAGTTGAGTCACTTTACTTTGAGTAAAGACAGTATTACCTGTGAAATTTTAAAAGGTTAAGTAACAAATTGTTAATAGAGAAAAATTAATGTTAATAATATGGTTTTATACTGCTGAAGTCATTTCGATGTCTTTATATTGCCAAATTTTAAGACCAAGAGGAATCAGATAAATGGAGATGCTTGTACCTGAAATGAGTAGTTTGAAATTAAGATTAAATTGAGTTACCATACGGTTAATTCCACATTTCCCAGATGAACTGTGGTGTACTGTTATATCTTGTAATACTTTTCTGTCAGTGGCTTTTTATATATTTTAATTGGTATGATCTTATATTTATTCATGTTAATTTGACTTAAATCTGAAAATATTTCAATTTCAAATTATGTATTATTCTAACTTCTCAGTTCTTTAAAGGCATCTACTTTATTATAATTTGGCAGAAATGTGATAAATTTCAGCAAAACCATATTTGATTTCATCTTTCCACTGGTATTTGTAATTTATTTTGAATATTTTTACAGATAATTTGCTCATAATTTTCATTTCAATGCTCAATTACCCTCATTTGGGTTTAACTTTGTGTAGTACAAAGATAGGTGTAGTTATCTATGATGTATCAGTTTGGCATTGGATCCACATTTTCAGACAATGAGGGGTGGCGGGATTCACATATATCAGGAGTGGAGTGAATGGGGAGAGAGTAACAGTGAGGTCAGGGAGGGAGATGGAGGCTAGGTTACTTAGGGCCTCGAAGACATTGGAATTCTACTTTTATTCTGAGGCAGGAATCTGTTGGCAGAATTTGAGCAGGTGATTGTATATGTGAATAACTCTGGAGTTGATTGAGCTTCTAATAAAAAAAGAGAGAAAAAGTTTCATAATGTGGAATTTATCACCACCGGTGCCAACCTCACATACGCATTTCTTTTTGAGACCTAAGTAGGTTGTTAAGCATTGCATATTCCTCAGGGGACGAATAAATAGCGGGCTGAATCTGTTGTTTAAGTGACAGAAAGGTAACACTTTCTGTGTTTTTAACTGAATTCAGCAGTAAATAGGAATGTGTACACAAAGGTAAAGAAAGTGAATTGATGTATGTGGCAATATTTTTCAAGTTATATATATTAAAGTGTTATTAACATAATTTAGTAATAAGATGATTTATGAAATCAGTAACAAAAATATCTTATCAGGTAACTGTGAGACAACTTCAACAAGAACTGGCTGATACCCTAAAAAAACAATCTATGTCAGAGGCTTCACTAGAGGTTACGTCACGTTATCGTATTAATTTAGAAGATGAGATGCAAGATTTAAAGAAGAAATTAGGTCAAGTCAGAAGTCAAGTATGTATGAAATTTAACATGTCAGCAGTTAATCTATAACTGGTTAAATAATATAAAATGTTTTAGGATACTAATTTCAATGGACAGCCCTCTTTTAATTTTCATTGTAATTAACTTTATTATAATTTTATTATCCTTATAATGCACTAGTTGTTAAACTCTGGCTTTTATTCTACCATTCTTTTCTTATAATTACATACATTATTTTTCTTATAATATTTACCCTTAGGAAAATTGAGAATTATACATCATTCCTCACAAAAGTTGAGAGACTTCTTTCCTGTTAAACAGTATTTTAGATCGCTCAGTATTGTTAAAGATTCTGAGTCCATCCAGGTTGCTGTGAAGTTCATGATTTTGTCCTTCTTTATGACTGTGTAATATTCCATCATGTATATGTACCACATTTTAAAAAATTCAGTCATCTTTCAGTGGACACAGTTGGTTCCATGTTCTTGCTGTTGTGAACAATACTGCAGTAAACATGCGTGTGCAAGTATTGTTTCCATAGACAGTTACTGGGAATGAATTGATTTGGGAACTTTTATTTAGCCATAGAGCCTAGTATTTTCAGGTCAGTGGCTTTAGCCCACCTTTGGTGGTCGTGTAAGTTATATGTTACTCAATCCAGAAGGTGCTGTTTGCATTGTAGTACATGATCACTGCCCACTGAGTAGCAGAGAGAGAAAGTAAGCTATAAACTATTCCAAGTGGAAAAAAGTACTGTTGGCTAGTGGAATTGGTGAAAGTTCTATAAAGTACCGGGAACACATTCTGGGTTTCATGCTCCCCATTTGCTGCCATTTTCCGTGGTGTGAAGAATGATTGACTGCAGCTATAGGAGACCACTTTCATTGGCATGCCACTTGCCTAAAATATAAAGTTTATTAGACCATAGAATACAATAAAAATAATAATGCCAATAGAAAATATTGTGTGTGTGTGTGTGTGTGTGTGTGTGTGTGTGTGTATGTATGTATCTCACTATGTGCCACACACTTTCTAAGTACCTTATTTATATAGTCTGCAATTCAGTCTTCTCAACATTCTAGTGAAGTAGATACTATTACTTCTTCCATTTTACAGATGAAGAAACTGTGACACAGTTAATTTGCTCAAGGTCACACAGCTAGTAACTGGTGAAGCTGGGGTTCAGGCTTCTCTGTCAACACTGCCTCTCAAACTAGTCTATGAAATATCTGCTTATCACCTAACATCTTATCATGCTAATTTTTATAATAACTGGCATAGCCATGGTTATTAACATACAGATATTTAAAATTACAGTTGATGTGGTGATGCTTAGAATCCAAAATATGTATGTTTACCATGAAGTAATTTCCTGGCTTTCCCTATTTAATCAACTTTGTAAATCTGAGTATTTTTTGGATAAAATATATTTTGAAAACAAGATGAATTTTGTGTTCTGGTCTTAGAGAGGGCTTGGTACACTTTTTTGTGACAGATCTGATAGTATTATTTTAGACTTTGTGAGCCACAAGATCCATGTCACAGCAACTCAATTCTGCAGTCCAACATAAAAGAAGCTATAAACAATATGCAGGTTGAGAGATGTGGCTGTGTTGAAATAAAATTCAGTTACAGAAACAGGTGATAGGCAAATTTGTACTATATTATTAATTTATTTTTTTTAGGCTTTACTACTTTGGTGCACTTTTACATATATTTTCTTTTTTAAAAGTTTTTATTTATTTGTTAAAAATATATTCTATTTTAAAGATGTAGGATCCAGTTCAGGATTAGGTATACAAGTGGGCATTGTACAGGTAAAGTTTGGGCCTCTCTTTGGTCTCCACTTTACCTGGTTGAGATCAGGTACTCTACTTTTTTTTTTTATCCTGTTTTAGTTGCAAGAAGAACAGGATCAACGCACAGAAGCTGAACGATGTGCTGAGAGGACACAAGATCACATGCAAAAGTATGATTTAAAGCAGCACACAAAATAACTTGATTATTTATAAGGCAAATAAACAATGTAGTATGAGATTATAACAACTGTGATAATAAATACATCTGTTGAAACCAAGGGAAAACTTTATCATTAAGCTATTTTAAGTTGCATAATTTTTATACATTGTCTCTAAGTTTTGTACATTATCCACAAAACACAGTTAGAAAAATGATAGTTGCCAAATCCTCTACTCTTGAAATATTTAAGAACTTATGTAATTATATCTTCAGAAATTTGTTTAGAAACTACATGGTTTTTTTCAGAACTTATCTGTGAGAATAATTATTTTAAAATATGCATTCTAGGCTTGAGAAAGAAAATTCTAAGTTAAAAGTTACGATAAAAAAGCAAGTGGACAAAATTGAGCAGCTTCAGAAAAAACTGTTAAATGCAAGTTTGGTGAGTAAATCTCTTAATTATTGTTATACTAAAAAGGAATTTTCTTTCTCTGGTAGTACAGGTTAAGTATCTCTTACCCCAAATACTTGCAACTAGAAGTGTTTGGATTTAAAAAAAAAAATTTGTTGGACAATTGGATTATTTTCACCTTTTGGCTATTGTGAATAATGCTGCTCTGGACACTAGTATATAACTGTCAATTCGAGTCTTGCTAATATTTTATAATATCTTTTGAAATTATGAAAAGTTTGAGTAATGATTTGATCTGAAAAATTGAATTTCTCTTGTAATCTAAAAACTTTAGTGAGATTTTAAGAATAAATAGTTGTTAACATTGTACTTTGTTATCAAGAATGGATACTATGTCATTTTTCAAGCATTTTTTCCTCAATGAAATGTTTTGTTCTCTTTGGATTTTAAAGAAGAAAAGAGATGCCAGTGAAAAAGTAGAAATGGCTACTCCAGCAAGACATTACAGAGTAACATAGTGATCCTAGCATTGTAGGTTCAGAAACTATCTTTTCTCCCATTCGCCTGTGTTCATCAGTCTTTCAAAGCCTTAACAGTCCAAACTCAGAAAAGATGGATATATAATCCAAGATGCCACTTTACTAATATACAGTGAAAACTGTAAAACTGGTTATTAAGCAGAACAGGATTCTCCTGTCATTCATGCTTTCCTTTGTAGGAATGAATATCAGAAGATTGCACTGCAAATACTACAATGTTGCAATGGGATAGATGCTTCTATTAATAAGTTTCTTTAAGCTACAATCATTACATTTATGAAATTCTGTTTTACAGATAGTCCTATGAGGGGAACTAGAACATTTGTGTTGACTGACCTTTTCCATGGCCACAGGAGCACTGAAAAATATTTTTTCTAGATTTTATATAAATTAGTCCCATTTTATTGGCATACTTTTCATACAAGTGACATAATAATATGTTGATAAGGAGTCTTCTGTGAATGAGAGTGCCAGGAGAAATCTTACATATGTGTCATACAGGAATATATTAAAGTATCAGAAATGGAAAACATTTTTAAGAGTACTAAAAATCCATTGTTTATTAAAAAATAATGAGGAATTTTCCATAGATTCCCATAGAAATGAGTTAGGAGTATGGTACAGAATTATTAATCACTTTGAAGTCTACCCTGTGAATCAAAAGTTTAGTAAGGGTCAGTGTTCAACCAATACAGTCAATAGCCCCTAAATTCTCCAGAAGGTTCTCATGTTATGAATTACCAAGTCAGAGACTGCCTGAGTTAAGATATTTGATGGACACAATTTAAGCAAAGAACCTGGATTGGAAAGAGAGAACTCTAGTTGACGACTCAAGCCTCCAAATGATATAGTTGAGTGTGCATCTGAAAGAAACTTTAGAACAAGGCTTGCATAAGATCATGAGTCTATGGAGAAGAAAATTATTCAAAAGAAAACAAAGGCAAACAATTGATAATCTGACCTTTGTGGAAAAGTTTGGCATTTTAAAAGAAAAAAAAAGACAAGATATACTGGCCAACATCATAAGGGTGAGGACATAAAATGTACAAGATTAGCTATCTATAAAAGTAATAATCCACACCACATAATGGTTTATGAGAGTGTGTTTGACAATATTGTCTATAGGATATGAACTAGAGGGAAGAAACCTCAATAAAGAGGTCTGGGCTAGGGATGTAGATTAAATAATCTGGGTTGAAGACGAGCTTTAAGAAGCTCTGGGAGGATTTTAAAAGAGGAATAGAAAGGGACAGGACTGAACATCAAGGTTTATTGCATTTATAGTGAAGGGTCAGAGGAGTAGAGGGGAGGTTGTGTTCACTCCTGGCAGTTGCTGCTGAGAAGTAAAACAGATTAATAACTAAAAAAATAGGGCCTTGGTGACCCTCAGAATTGTTGTTACAGGAATTGCAGGATAGAAAATCAGATTTTAGTATAAAAGAAGACCATAAGTGATGAAAAATAGATCACTAGATGAGACCACATATTAAAGAATATTAGTCCAACAAAAGGGGAAAAACCAGATGATGGAAAAACCACAAGAATCAAGCAGAAGTTATGTTGCTATAGGGAAGACTTAATTTTATTTAAAGAGAACTGCTTAATAGAAAAGGACAAATAAAAACCCATGGAAGAATGTTTACAGACAGCGTGAAAATTTACCTCATCCTGAAGTTAGGTGAGGATCAAAAATGTGATAGAACAAGATGGGAGTTTTCCAAAAATTGTCTTAGTATGATATGATTGAACAAAACCTGGAATATCTTTCACTCTTGATGACAGTGTTTGTAGGGAATATTTAGAAACAAAAATGTAAATATAATTGCTCTTTAAATTTTCTAATGAACACTTAGTATTTTATGTGTAAAAGCCTCTATTTTTAACAAATTGTGGCAATTTAAGTTCTAGAAAAGATAATGATGAAAGTGTAAGTCAATTTGAACTATTTTTAAATGTCATTATTTTTGAAATCTGTTTTTATTGACATTAGCTTTATAAGCTACATTTGATAAAACTGTTTAAACACATTTCTCATAAATTCGTGAGAAATATTTCTGAGAAAGAAGTGTATCTCTAGATTTTTAAAAGTAATTTTCATTAAAAATTTTTTTTCAAAGTATGAGGATGAAAAAGAACAATTAAAGAAGCTTACTGAATTAAAACAGTCTCTGGAATATAATTTGGATCAAGAAATGAAGAAAAATGATGAATTAGAGAAAGAGATAACTGGGTAAGATTTTAATATTGCAGATCATTTCAGCCATTCTTTATTTGACTATACAATTTGACTTTATTAAAACCTAAATACAAATTCATTTTATATCTGCATTTTCATAATGAAAGCAATTATTCCATATTAAAGTTTATTTCAGGAGCTCAGCACAATGTAAAACTTTTTTTGAATGCTTTAGTACTGTACTTACTGTAATGATTTTGAAAACAATAATGACAATGCCTTTGCATATAATGTCAGCTGTGCTCACTCTTAATCGTCTACTTTGAATTTTTATTTCAGAAGCTATTTTGCTCCCTTTGGTAATCTTTCCTTATTTTGGTAGTGTCCTTCTCTTCAGCAATCAAATCTTTTTTTTTTTTTTGAGTTGGAGTCTTACTCTGTCGCCCAGACTGGAGTGCAGTG